CTATAGCCTTACCATCGTGAAAAAGTAGTTTTTCAACATCTGACCAAAATTTCTTTTCTAAAAATGTTTTTCTAAAAAATTATTTTCAAAACGTATATATAAAAATAATCTAATTTTGATGAGAAATGTGCAGAAAAAATAAAATTATGAAAATTTTATTTTCAAAGATTTTCATCAAAATTTTTCAGCACCTGATCAAAAAATGTTTTATAAACATTTACAAAAAATGTTTTTAAAAAGAAATTTCAAAACATTTTCTCAAAAATGTTTTCTAAAAAGAATTCGCTAAAGAATTTTTTTCCAAACGCTATATTTTGATGAGAAATGTGCAGAAAAGATACAATTTTGAACAATAAATTCTAAAAATTTTCATCATAATTTTTCTACAGCTTACCAACATAACCTGAATATTAGGATTTCGCCAAAAACATTTGTTTTTAAAAAGATTTCTTAAAATGCTATAATTTGATCAGAAAAATGGACATGAAACGACAAAATGTGGGACAACAAGTGACAGCTGCAACAATTTAAAGCCAACACCCTTTTTGTTTTACCAAGTAACATGCACGTATTTCATTACCCTCCAAAACAAATAAAAACTTTTTAGTACCCAAGACATAACCTAAACCTAAAAAGCACACACATTTTGCAATGTAACATATTTGTTGATGCATTATCTTAATTCTTCCACATTTGACATAAAATAAGCAGACAAGGCAACAACAAAATATGACCTGATGTCAAATTAAACAATTTCAATGTAAATAGGTCTCTGTAAAACTAACAACTCTTGTGGATTATATGGCCATCTGTGACGAAAACATGAAAATAAAAAAGAGAAATAACTCACCGCCACCAAACAGATTTTGCATCACAATCCAGCAGATGGCAGGCCAACAACCTTTCTCAGCACTTTGAATAGCACGTTTCTGAAACACAGAAAAGCAACAATGTGTTAAAAGGCTATAACATGATTCAATGGTCATGAATATGTATTCTGCGTCGTTGTAGAACTCTATACAGTTACAGTATGTGCACAGTGGTCACTGACCTGAATCACTCTTGTGATTTGAGATTTTCTGCATTCGGTTGACCGATAATAATGTGTATATTGCACAGCATGGTAAACACTAGTAACTTCTACTGCAGTAATTGTATCCAACTCAGTGTCATTTGGTTTGCAAAAAAATACTACATACCTCTGGATGTTTTCTGTTGTTGTGTACTTCTTGTGTGAGACTCACGTGCATCGTGTCGTTTCCCATCAGATTCACCACTAAAAGCCGCTGTCACACAAACTGCAAAACGCTGGTTTAGAATCTCCACCCACCGGTCTCAGCCAAAAGGTGGCGTCTTCTTCTTCTTCTTTGTTTTTATTTTTTTCGCCACACTACACGTGGACGCCTTCACAGAATCAAAACAATTGCGCGAGCTACGAGTTCAGACGCTAAAGTTTGCCCAATAGCTGCGAGTCAGTCAGTTTGATTGACTTCCTACTCAGCCTGTCAGTTAATGCCTTATCCACGAAGTGGCCAATCGCTGCTGTGGACTGCACTGATAGTCGTGCCAATAGACAGCAAGGTACATAAAAAAATTTATATTCAATTAAGTAATGTCGAATGAAAAAGTGGGACGAAATGTTCGATTTACGTGATGCGGGACAAAGGCTAAAACTGCTGTTCAATACAACGTATAAAACAGTGCCAGTGGTATTTTGATATAAGCGCCGTCACTGTTTCGAATCGCTTCGCTTCAGGAAGTGCGACAGCCTCCAAAGCCTGGGTATCGTTTGCTCATCACTGGGAACAACTCCTTTAGGTTTAAACATAAAAATTAAAGACAAAAATTACTGTGTTGGATATTTGTCATTTTATTGCGGTAAGGCACTTGATAAAATACAGACTTGCCTTAAAATATTGGCATCCTCACATTAAGAATACAGTGTTCTACTCAGGCACCAGCTGTAGTGCTGCACAAATACAGTACAGTGAGAGAAACACAGAATGACCCACCACCAAAAAGAAGTGTAAAATATAAGTGACAAATGTGCACGTCATATAGAAAGCAACTTTTTCCAATTCTGTGTCTGTTCAGTGTGTGGAGTTATTGTGCCGTTTTAAAACAAGACTAATGAAGCAGAGATGACAGGGGAACTAGTCCTGACACCAGCAGGTGTGAACATTTCCAGTGTAAATGACCTGACATTTGTGTGCAAAACAAGCATTAAATTGCCAAAATTCCTGTTCCAGAGAACACTCAACAGAACCACAGCGGCTTAGCAGTATTTTTATAGACCTAATAAGGAGAAAAATATTTCTTAAAAAAAAAAAAAAAAAACGCTCAAATTAAGCCTTGTTGGGAAAAAGACCCATCAGCCACATTTACTGAGCTGAAATGAATATTTGGCAGAAAAGAAATGCAGCAAAATATGAGTTAAAGAAGAAGAAGAAAAAAGTACGTAATCTAATGCGTTAACCTCTTGGAGACAAAATATTACTTGAAGCATCATATCTGCACGTTGACACGCGCTCCTCATATTTCATTGGCTCACTCAGCTGTGCTCTCGGGTACTTCAGCCGGCACGTCCGCGTCATCGTCACTGTCCACGCCGGGGCGAATCCTGATGCGTTGCATGTTAAATGGAATATCTCCACGTCTTCAGAAAGAAAATGAACACAATCAGCCATGGCACAAATAAACAGTCACCAGGGAGCAGTGTGTGGACTGTGCCACGCTCAGTGCACTTCAGCGGCACCTGGTGGCTGCTACCTTCCGGACACAGGTATGTAACCTTAATTAATATTCCTAGTTTTAATTGAGGATATCACTGCCAACAATGCTGTTTTTTTGTTTGGTTTTTTAACACTCGACCTCATTTGTATCACACTCAAGAGTAACCACCTACTTTGAAGGTGGCTGTCAAAGCTGAAAACACTACTGCACCTGAGCTTGCTCTTCAAACTGCTGACTTCACGATTCATAGCATCAGCTGATTCAGAAGCGTCCTCCAGGTCTCTCTGTAGCTTCCTGCGGTTGGCGTTGGATCGCGTCAGCTCCTCCTCCGTCTCCTCGAGCTGACGTTTCAGCTGACGCATGCGGCTGTTTGTCTTCTCCACCTGGGAATAGGAAGTGTTGACCATTTTTGTTTGGACTTAAAGCAGGGTTTAACCATCCAACTATTAAAAAAAAAGAGCTAAAGATCACCTGGTCTTTGTACTGATCCATGTTACGCCTCTCGTCGTCCACCTGCAGCAGGGCCTCTTTGAGCTTCTTCTCTGTTCGTCTGACCAGCCTGGACGCCTGCTGACGCTCCCTGACATTAGATCATTGGGAAAGAATTTTAATTTTTTTTTTTTTTTTTAAAAACACATTTGACTGAGAATCTCCAGCTTTTGAGACCACCACCATCCCACTGTCTTTTAAAGTGGCACTCACTTGGACTCTGTGTCCAGCTGTTCTTCCAGCATGGCGATCTTGGCCTCCAGAGTGGTAATGGATGACTTGTACTTGGACTTGATGGTACCTTCGAGTTCCTGCAGCTTCAGTTTCAGTTCTTTGTTCTGGCGATCCAGCTGAGCTCTAGCGCCCTCTACCTTCTGGCTGTTGCTGCGCTCTCCAGCGAGTTCTGTGGTCAACTGCTCAGACTATTGTCACAAACAACAGAAAAAGTACAGAGACTGTTTGAGGACTTTTATATCCAGACATTTGTCCACTTCAATAATCCCCAGCAAAGTCAACATTTTAACTCCTCCTCCTGTCAGCTGCAGATGATAGATACCCCAGAATCCTCTGCCTCCTCACCTGTAGTGTGGCTCTCTTCATACGGTCGTTCACCATCTCACTGTTGAGCTGCTCCTCCTCCAGGTCCTCCTCCAGCTGGGTGATGCGAGCCTCCAGCCTCCTCTTCTCATCGGCCAGTTGAGAACTGTCAATAGTAAATCACAGTAATATTTCATTTCTCAGTGTCAGCAACATCTCCTGACAGAACATTGACAGTTTTAGTCAGAACATTTCCATTATTTTCATCACATATACGGAGTCTACAGATGCGTTTATGGTCTGGCTCGTACTTTTTGGAGTTGCTGCTGTTCACCACCTCCTGGAGCTCATCTCTCTCAGTCTGGGCCTGTCTCCTGAGTCTCTCTGCAGTGGCCAGGTCCTGGAGGAGGCACAAAGTTCAAATGAGACTAGTCTTAATAATTTCTCTTCAAGGAGTACTCTATTTCCAATAAATGTTCTCTTCTATGTTTCGTACCTCCTGTAAGTGCAGAGCGTCCGTCTCCATGGTCTTGAGCTTCTTCTCAGTCTCTTTGGCCGAGTTTACAGCATCGTCCCTGGACATTCGCAGCTCGTCCAGCTCTCTCATCAGGTCCTTCATCTGGACCTAGTGATGGGACGAACATGACCTACGTTACTCAAAACCACTCTCAGGAGTTATAGAGTCAAGGTCTGTGAGTCTGGACATGTTTTATTTAGTATCATTTTGACTCTGCAGTTGATTGGCCAACACACGTGTGATAAAGCTACAAACTATAGACAGAAGAATCAAGAGATGCCTTCACTTTCCTGGGAAAAACTACCTTTCCCTCTGATGTTTATGTGAGCAGAGGATTTTACCTGCAGTTTCTTCAGCTGTTTGAGGGCTTCGTCACGGCCCTTGTTGGCATCATCGATCTGCACTTGAAGGTCAGCCAGGTCCAGGTCCAGTTTCTTTTTGGCTGAGACAGCCTGAGTTTTCTGTCTGCGCTCGTCTTCCAGCTCCAGCTCCATCTCACGGACCTGAAACGAAGTGAATGGGAGAAAAAAAATTAACATTTTCTGAGGAATGTTGCCTGAAGCCAGATGTTTGAAGATTCTGTCAAGCACCTGTTTAACCAGCAGCTTCCTCTTCTCCTCTCCCTGCTCATCTCTGGCCTGCAGGTCTCTGTCAAACTGGGCCTTCATGGCCTGCATGTTGACCTCCAGACGCAGCTTAGCATCTTCTGTGGTCTGCAGCTCGTCCTCCAGTTCTTCCAGCTGAACTCTCATCTCCTCCAGCTGCTGCTCCATTGCACGCTTCGACCTCTCCAGCTCATGAACCTGTGGGCGGAGTCATTTCATTGAGCACAACCAGAATTATATTTATTGTTTTTTAGCTAATTAAGTTCATGATGACATTTTATCTTGCAGGTCCATTGTCTCATCTCTTACACTCTTGCCAACATCATCCTTGGAGGAGACCAGATCTTCCATTTCAGCCTTGAGTTGTTTGTTAACTCTGTCCAGCTCTGCCTTCATGTCCGTCATGGTCTCCAGCTCACGGCCCAGTGTCAGAGCTCGCGTTTCCTTCTCTCTGGCCTCAGCCTCGGCCCTGTCACGCTCCTCGGCGTACTGTGTGGAAATGGTCTTCTCCTCAGCCAGCATCTAAGGTTAAGACGGTGAGATGTCAGAGACCCAGAAGACACTGTTGCCAATGGCAACTATGGGCTGTCATATCAACACTCCCCGGCCAAACCTGGTCAAACTTCTTCTGCTTCCTCTCCAGGTTGGAGACGATCTGTCTCAGGTTGTCCTGGTCCACTAAAAGATCGTCCAGCTCCTGCTGCAGACGGGTTTTTGTTTTGTCCAATTTGTCGTAGGCCGCCGTCTTCTCCTCCAGCTGCTGCATCACACTGTCTACTTCTCGTTGGACCCTCTTGCGACCCTCCTCTGCCCCCTCCAGGGACAAGGCCTCCACTTCCAGCTTCTTCTTCAGCTCTCCCAACTGGACAGAAAAGGTGAATTTATAAGGGCTACAAAAGGAGTGTGTGCTGTGTAGACTGTTGGTCATAAATGAACAGTACAGGAATATTTGGGGATTTAAAGAAGATATTTTAAAAACTGTGGTAAACTAACCTGGGCCTGAAGAGCAGAAATCTGCTTGTCTGCGTTCCTTTTGGCCTCCTCCTCTTCCTCCAACATGTCCCGCAGGCTAGTGTGATCGCTCTCCATCTGCCTGAGCTGAGAAGATATTGCCAGCTTCTGACGGGTCTCCTCCTGAAGCAACTCCTGGATTCACAGAAGTCACAAAAATACATAAATAAATAATAAACAAACATAATAAACAAAGCAAAATACAAATTAGTCGATTGTTGACGAAGGAGTCAACAGTGTTGGTGAGAACTCAGCCAGCAGTGATGACAACGTGTCCATGTTTGTACCTGTGCGTCCTGGAGCTGTGACTCCAGAGAAGAGATGTCTTTGCTGGACTTGATGTTCTTGCCGTCTGCTTCACTCAGGAGGCTGTTGACGTTGTCAAGCTCAGACTAGGTTAAAAAAAACAAAAAAAAAAACAAAGAAATACAATTAAAGCAAGCTGTGTGAGACTCAGATCATTAAATCCGTCCAATCAGATACAGGACTTTATTCGTACTTTTTATAGTGACAAGTTACAATAAGTTAAAACTGTCAGTGTAAGCATGGACCACGACCAGACCTGGTCCTAATTCCCTGGTACAATTCAAAACAGACGGTGACTCCACGCAGCTCCTTTCATACCTGCATCTTTGTTATCTTGCTGCTCTGCTCCTGCCTCTGTTTTTCACTTTCTCCAAACTTGACCTGCAGCTCTTGAACCTGAGCCTCAGCCTTCTTGCGACGGTGCTCAGAGTCTCCTTTGCCCTGTGTCAGAGACTGAAGTTCGATCTGCAGCTCGTTCAACTCACTCTCCAGGGCCTGCTTCGTCTTCTCCACCGACGCCTTGTTCTGCAGGAGGAGCAAATATTTACACCGTTGTCACCGTTGATCAGAATTCATTACACACTGGAGCTTCTGATGACCAACACAACGGATTTTACCCTTTTGGCCTGTTCAAGCTGTTCGTTGAGCTCTTCAAACGTCTGATTGTGTTTCTGCCTCATGTCGGCCATCTGCTGTTCGTGGACTTTAGCCTCTTCCTCCAGCGTCTTCTTCAGATGCGCGACCTCAGTCTCACGCTTTGACCTGAGGAACAAGAGCAAAAATGGTGGTTTCTTTTAAAAGCAAAATGTTTTTCAAGATAAATGCATGGTACTAGTGCTGTGTCTATGTGGAACTGGTCTAATTATACTTTAGGATTAGTTAGTTAGTGTGAAAAGTCACCAGAACCGTTGCTTCTCTGCAGCTTCTGTCACTGATCAGTTACCTCAGTTCTTGTTGTGCTGCGGTGGAGTCCAGAGTGTCTTCCAGCTCAGTCTTGAGAGCCTCCAGCTCCTCTCCCAGGTCCCGTCGGTGTTTCTCGGCCTTGGAGCGCGCTTGCCTCTCCAGCTCCAGATCCTCTTGCAGCTCTGAGATCTGAGCCTCCAGCTCCCTGATCTTCTTCTGGGCCATGTTCTTTGCTGCAGACTCTTCCTCAATCCTGTAGCAGAAGAAAAAGACTGAATATCTCTGTGTCTGTGTCCGAAAGAAACTGACCTACATCTGTAATTGATCAAATCTCACATTTGTCAATTAGCACTTCAGCAATTTCATGATTTTACACATTCATTTATTCTCAGTGGCTAAAACCCTAACCTGGCCAGAGCAGCATGGAGTTCCTCCTCCTTCTTTGCCAGTTGAGCTCTGAGTTCATCAATCTGGGCCTGTAGGTCTGCAATCTGGTCATGGAGCTCCGTGGAATCGCCCTCGAGCTTCCTACGGTTTTTCTCCAACTCCTGACGCACTTTCTCCTCTTTCCTGAGACGATCTGTGCAGAGGGAAAAACACAAATGCTTGACATATAGTTGTTTCATTTATGTAAATAACTTAAGCCACGATTTGTCTGCCGATTATATCATCTTCTAGTAATTATAATGAGTGGAAAAATACATACCTTCCAAATCTGTGATCATAGCTTCATGTTTATTTTTGAGTTTCTGCAAACTTTTGGACTTCTCTTCCTCTTCAGTCAGGTTGGTGGTGAACTCAGAGATCCTCTCCTCCATCTGTTTTTTCTCCTGAGGTGAAAAAAAAGTTTTATTTACAACAATTTGTAAAACAAATATGGAATGACAAATAGTGTTAAGGTGCTGAATTAACAGTTACAAAACCTTGTTCAGCTTGATGTTCTGGTCGTCCAGCACCATGATGTCCTCCTCCATCTTCTTCAGCTTGGCGTCCGTGGTGACCTTCTCTATCTGGAGCTTCTGTCTGGCTGCCTCTTCTTCGTCCAGCTGCTGCTCAAGATCCTATATGAACACAAACAGATGCAAAAGCATTTGAAAATAGTCCCAAGAACACAGGCTCAACAGTTCCATCTACATTTAAACTTTTTTACTAAACCTTTTTGTCTCAAACGACTTCACTCACTGTGATATTTTGCTGCATTTTTTTTCTCTCCGTTTGCATATGGGTGACTCGCTCCTCCTCTTCCTCCAGACGAGATTCCAGGTCATGGAGGATCTCCTCCAGCTCCTGCTTCCTTATGGCCAGACGAGCTCTCATCTCCTCAGCCTCTGCACACAGCTCTGTCTCTGCCTGGAGCTGCTCCTGAAGAGCCTGCTTCTCAGCATTCAGCTAGCACAGAGAGCAATCGAGGTCAGAGTGAGTCAGGATGATTTGATCCACATAAAATGAGGACGATTATAAACATGTTTGTCATGATTTTAATGGACACATAAAAACCTCAATATATTTTTTTAGATTTACTGGTATATATTTACCTGTTGTTGCTTGGATTCAAATTCTCTGAGTTGCTCCTCAGCCTGCACTTGTCTCTCCTTCACCTTCACCAGCTCCTCTTCTTTGGCCACCATCTCCTCTTCCTGTCGGGTCACCTGCAGCAAAGGCTTCACCTAAAAACAAAAAAAATATATTATAAAAAGGAAAACCAATGGTATTGTTTGTTTCCAAAATGCAGTCAGAAATTCATCTTCTACCTTTAATGAATAATAAAATGACTTAATAAAAACTAATACGTTTCAGCATGTTCATGGTGCTTAAATATTTCTACCTACAAAATTATTAAACTAGCCACTGGATTAAACCAGTTGTGTACCAAATACTTTTACAGATATGTTTAGTTTAGTAGGTTTATATTTTAGACCAACCTTGGTGAAAAGCCTCCACCACTGCCAGTTCCTCAGTTTAAGGTAGGCAGCACAGTTCCTCTGGATGACTCTCATCGCTGTGAGCTGCTGCTGTCTCTTGGCAAAAGCTCTGAAGGTAAAAATATATTTTTGTCAAGGTTTGGATGATTATAATATTGTAAAATAATAATTAAAGACTTCTGGGTAAAGTACATTCCTGGATCTCTGGTCAAAATGATTTGATTGTTCTTACTTGCGAGCCAGATGTCCTCTGCACCAGGCCTGGAAGCTGATGATGACGTCAGTGATCTTCATGTCTCTCTCCTCCTCCAGATGAGCCAGAACTCCAGCTCTGAAGAAAACTTTACTTTGACCAATGCGGTACAGGTTAGGGTCCAGCTCCAGAGCTTTGATCTGACAATGCAGCAAACAGATAATTACTAAAAAACTGCTCTAATACTTCACACAGACAGAGATGATAGACAAATCCTATTGTTATACAAAATGTTATTTTCCTACCATGAGAACACAGGCTTGTTTCCCATCCATGAAGCCTTTTGGAATGGCATTAGGAGTGAGAATTTCATACCTTAGACAAAAAAATGTATCATTATTTAAATGGTCTACTTTAAATAAAGATGCACAGCTTCGCCCCCTGTCTAAACAGTTGGTTCATGTTGAGTGTTACCTCTGTCTAAACTCTTGGAAGACGATGCGGTTGGGGAAGCCCTGTCTGCAGATACGGATTCCCTCCAGGACTCCATTACACCTCAGCTGGTCCAGGACCAGGTGAGGCTCTAGTTTACCAGCCTACAGGGAGAAACAAGCATTTAATGTCATGGTAACAGGTATGCAGCCTGTGTACAGACCAACACAGGTCTTGTGTGATTTACTAGGTACACAAATTTGGATGTTTGGAAAAAAAATCATCTGCCTAACAAGGACTTGATGTCAGTAGGTTCATTACCTTCTTCTCGTGGTTGGGGATGATACAGCGAACAAAGTTAGGGTTGGTGTTCCTCAGCGTGGCCATGAGGTTACCCAGCTGCTCTTTGTACAGTTGCCCCACGGTGCGGAACATTCCTTTACGGGTCTTGAAGGCACCGTGCATTGAGTCGGACATCCCTGCTACTTTATCCAAGCCGACAATACGGTCCACTGTTAAGACAACAAACATATGAACACAGTACAGATTTAACGACTATTCCAACAATTCATAAGGTCCCTCAGATAAGAAGTAGGGGGGGAGAACTGACCGTCTCTCCACAAATCACAGGTGATCTTGTCTGTAGACTGGTTGAGCAGAGTGGCCACAGACTCGTTGAGAGGATCCATGTTCTTCATCAGCCACTCGTCTGCTTTGTAGTCCACCTGCACCACAGCAGAGTCACTCATCATCAGCTGTTTTAAATCCTCATCGCAGTGATGTTGATGTACAAGTCAGGCTAAAGATGTGATAAATAAAATGAAAAAAACTCTAATGAAAGTGACCTTTCCAGCATAGTGCATGACGCAGAAGTCAACATCGTCCTTGAGTTTCTTGGGCTTCTGGAACTTGGGGTGTGTCCCCTGCTCCTGAACCACTTTCTCCACAAAGCTCTTGTCGGTAGCTTTAGGGAACCAGCACTCTTCATCCAGGAGAGCTAGGATGCCTGGAGGACCAGCCTAGGATGTACAGATATCAGGGGAGATACATCTGTTAGACTGTAGCAGTCATCAATTGTGTGTTAAATTCTGTAATAAAACCTGAAAAATGTAACTTTTTTTCCCCCTCTTTTCTTACATGTTTTTCAATGAGGTCGATGCAGGGCTGCAGGTCCAGGCCAAAGTCGATGAAGCTCCACTCGATGCCCTCCCTCTGGTACTCCTCCTGCTCCAGGATGAACATGGTGTGGTTGAAGAGCTGCTGCAGCTTCTCGTTGGTGTAGTTGATACAAAGCTGCTCAAATGAGTTCAACTGTCGAGGACACACACAGAGAACATTCAGACATTCAGACTTCTGTCAATATCTGCAGGTTGTTTGAAATTGTTGAATAAAATAAAAGTTCTGCTTAAATCCACTCCATATCAAGTCTCACAAGCTCAAGTATTTCCTGTACCTATTTCCATGACCTTTAATACTTTCACTGACTTTTGACTTGATTAAAGTATGAAACGTATGCTGTGAAACACTCTCAGTAAGTATTATTTGCAATTTTTACCTGATCCTGAAGGATTTCAAACATTAATCAGACTAATCTAAAGGTAGCAGAAGACCAGTCAGTTCAGTGACCACATGAGTAAAACACTTTTTAAGACTAAAAAGTTAAATGTTTACTGTAAACTGTAGGTCATTAAAAAATATTTTATTGTGAAAATAAAATAAGAATTTGATTTGTTGCCTTCCATATATTTTATTAATTGGTCCAGTTCAGCTTAATAGACTCACAGATTCACAGACATTAAATCTGAAGCCTTTGCCTGTCATTAGCTGTTTGACCATGTTAGAAAAATGTTAAAAAAAAAAAAAGAGACTTGCATCTGTTGAATGTCAGTGAGAGGAGACCATACCTCAAAGATCTCAAATCCAGCAATGTCAAGGATTCCGATGAAGGAGGCTCCCTGTCTCTTGGTCTTGTCCAGAGCTTTGTTAATTCTCATCACCAACCAGCGGAACATCCTCTCATAGGAGGCTTTGGCCAGAGCCTCGACAGCAAACTCAGCCTGCTCCTGAGTCTGGGCCTTCTGGACATAGTCCCTGCCAACCTAAGACACCAAATATAACATTGTTATGAGAATAATAATTACACAAGTATGTAGCATTTTGATTACTGAGCTGAAGCCACTGCTCAAATACATGGGTATGTCAAAAGCTTAGTTGTATAGTTTTATAATATTTGTCATCAATCTGAGATTCCTTACATTTAATTTTTGGGCAAAGAACTAGAGAAACAGATTTGTTTCTTTTATGAATAAATATTGAATTAAAAGTCGTAAAACTTTTTGACATAGATGATGGAGGTTCGTGTATTCATCGGTCACAGACCTTAATTCTGGGTGAAAGAATCGCTCGGCTGAAGTCGGTCACGTTGATGCCCAGCAGGTGACAGACTTTCTGGGCGGCTGTAGACGAGACATTGAGGTCATAATGGAGGAAGTGAGCGATAACAGTAGGGTAGAGTGAGACGTGCGGTGTTTATATGATGACAGTGTGATTACCTGTGTCGTCTGGCATAGAGGCCTGGTCAGAGTTACGCTCCTTCTTAAAGGACATGTTCCCCAACTGCAGCACAGCTGACACCACCTTCAACAGACCTGATGGCAAAACAGACAAGTTATAATAACACCAAAAATCACCTTCAGAGGATACAACTATTGACTATACACTATAATGATGTGTTAACATGATAAAAAAAGCTGAGGAATTTATCACAAGAAAATTACTTCTCAAAGCTACAAGATAACAAAATGGACTGGGTCGTAAATTAAAACGCTCCACAGGAAATCTGACACCTAACCTGATTTTTAAACTAGCTGTATTCACAATAAGATTTACGGGTTAGAGAAAAGACAGCTAACCAGTCACTTCCTCTTCAGGGATGCTCATGATGTTGAAGGCCTCCATGGTCTCTGCAAACATGTCCTTGTCCTGCTGGCCAGGTATGGTGACGTTCCCATTGGACAGGAATCGATACTTGCTGTAATCCTCCAGGCACAGTTGAGCTACACAGGTAGAAATCAAAAGGTTTAATTACTAAAAAGTTAATTTAGAGTCTAATACATGCAACTGTCTACTTCTGTAATTCATTCCCCAGAGAAGCTTCATTGAAAACAGAGGAAGACAAATCAGCTTCACTTTGAAAAGCCTTTTTTTAAAGAATTAACGTAGTAGTAAAAAGTAGTTTGACTGCTCACAGCGCATCTTGTCTCCTGCCCCTGTCAGCAGGTAGTAGAAGACGTGGAAGCTCCTCTCCTCTTTGGCTTGTCTGATGGCTCGTGACTTCTCCAGCAGATCTGGGATCATTAAAGTCAAGAACACACTGGTGGCAACACAACAAGGGTGTACTTAGATGAGTGGAAAACCTCACACTGTGCAGTACTACTAACAACTACGTCTATTACACAACATTGAAAAAAAATCATTTTCTTCTAAAGTGACAATCTGGTAACTACGTGACTGTGTGGTTTAAAGGATACAGGTCTCAATGTTGGCGCCGACGATGTAGCCGTTAACGTCGAAGTTGATCCTGATGAATTTTCCCTGAAAGAGCAGATGAATCCACATTTACAACATAACTCACACTATTACACATCCAAAGATCTTCTCCAGTTTTAATAACAGTTGTGTTTGAATAGCCATCAGCTGCCACCTAGTGGAAGAGTACTTGATAAGTCTGAAATCTATTTTTCCTATGCAACATTGAAAGGCTGATCTAAATGAATTAAGTTGTAAAAGTCTTATGGTAAACTTGTGTGCCCTGGAACATTGTTTGGGAATCGCTCTCCTAAGCTGACAGTACAGTTGACCAGGGTTGGTCTTAAAGGGTCAAAAACTTTAAATTTGCAGAAAGATTGTCAGGGTGTCAAAGTCATTCTTACAAATCTGGAGGAGTTGTCATTCTTGACAGTCTTGGCATTGCCGAAGGCCTCCAGGATGGGGTTTGCCTGCAGCAGCTGCTTCTCCAATTCCCCCTACAGGAGAGCAGACAGTATTACACCAAATTAGTCACCCTATAAAAACTCTGGACATTAGAACACCAAGCAAAACGTTTCATGCAATTTCTTCCACAGCTGGGATTTGTCCATTGGCGAATGCAAACATAAGCTTAAAGCCAGTAACTTGTTGCGTTCCAACACAATCCAGGCTGCAGAATTTTTTTAAATTACCTCAGGGGAGGTAATCCTTTCCCAATACACCACACACACAGAAACACACATTCCACCACAAATTCTTGTAGCACAGCATGCCTGTTCAGGCTCAAAAACCCATATAAGACCATCCCTGTACATGCACGCACAAACAAGACAACACACGGGAAAGTTAGTCAAGGAGCCACAGGGGAAATGCTGCAATACTCCATATTTGTGTACTGCACTGTACTCCATCAGGTGAAAAGACACCCACTCACTCACTCAGCAGCCTGTTTACTCCTCAATCAGATCAGGCCTGATTTGTCTTGTCATACATGTACAGTATGTACTGTAAAACCACAGACGGAGCTCCTGACACCTGTCTGAATTAATAGGGCAGTTACTTCTGTTACTGATATGGGTCAAATATTTGTCCTCATAGCCAAAATAAGACCATTATGAGTAGACTCTTTTTCTTTCTTTAAACTCCTGATGTGACCAAGTTTAGAAATTCTAGTAGAAAATCTTTTGTTGTACTTCCCGTTATACCCAAAGACAAAGACAAAACATTTTCTGTTAGTACAGCGAAGACACAACGCATATGGGGTCAGAGAAATGAACTCACGTGGGATAAAACTGCACTAGCCTGGAAAGGTAAAAAACAAAGTGATACAAGTCAACACATTTGGTATCAGCAGAAAGTCAGGGAAAAACAAAAACAGAAACAAAACCTTTACCGTATATGGCTTTTGTGTAATGTAAACAACAGCACAGACTTGTGGTCATTTGGGGGATGTGACTAAATGAATCCCCACTAATGATCAATGTTAATTCAACTGAAGTTTGGATTTATGCTGCTTCCAGACATTGCCAGAAACAGAGCCTCACTATTAGTAAAAATAATAATCAAACTGCACACACATGCTAACACACATGCACAGCTGCTGCTGCTCTGCTTGACTGAAAGTCATTGGTGAGGGAGGAGAGGCCGACAGGTCGAGGCCTGAGAAAGGAATGTTCGGTGGTTGTTACAAAACTCAGTCAGGCACAACATCAGAGAAGAGCCATCGTGAAAATGTACAAACATGAACAGAGGAGGAGACAGGAGAAAACAGTTTACATAAAAAATACAATATAAAATCAGAGGCCAGCCAACATCAGTCCTACTGCACAGGGCTGCAGATGTGGACTGTCTGACTACTGACCTGATCCTTCTTAGATTTAGAAGACGAGGCGATATGGGCCAGATACTGAATGACTTTCTTTGTATTTTCTGTTTTTCCTGCTCCAGACTCTCCACTGTACAGAAGGAAATGGAACAACTCAGTCATATCAACTTTGTACCGAAATAACAGCATGCTCTAGCACAGGGGTCTCAAACTGCAGGCTTGGGGGCAACTTCGGACACACGACATTCCTCACCTGGCCCACATTTAGATAACATATATCAATAATAATTAAATTTTTCCTGTGCTGTAAGGTTTTTAAAAATACATTTTTCAATTGCTTTGTTTTTTCCTTCAGTTAAAGTATTTAGTTATTTAAATTAGCTAAAATTATTTTTATTAGATATTTTATTTTTATCAGAATTATTTGAAAATGTAATACCAGAAGTAATACTATAACACATGAGCACAATGCTGACGAAGAGCTTAAAGAAAAAACACTTACGTGCACAGGATTGACTGGTCTTCACGATCTGTTGGTGGAGGAAACAAAAGAGCAAAGCTATAATAACACAGTCAAGTGATGTGACAATCTAGAGTCAAACACAAGGGACCTGATACTTTATTCAAATATCGGTACTAGAAAACGTGCGCTGATCCAGTGACACAATGTAACGTCTTTTCACCACAACCAGCTGAACACGGGGTCAACCAGTGTTAACGTGTTTTCCTACTGCAGTTCAGTGTCTCTGCCCTCAGGGGGGGTTTATTTAAGTAGGTCAACAATGTCAACAGTTTGGAGGAATTTTAACATCAGGGATGAAGACAAGAACAAGACTTACAGTAAGATTGGTTTTGTTCCAATCGGCTGATGTCTCACCATATCACTTAACAACACTCTTTGATTTATTGAAACAGTGAAATAGTGCTAAGCTGTTAAACTGATACTGTTAACTGGAGACTATGAGACACCGTTTTGTTTTTTTAATTACCACCAAAAGTTTGTGTTATTTTTGAGGACTTTTTTTAATATACAGAAATACTCGTTTCCACTGGGAGAAAAAAAAAATGGTTGTAAGTATTTTCCTAGTTAGTGTACTCACTGTGTTTATTACAAACTATGCTGTACCACCTATGCAACTCTTCCTTCCTATTTAAGGCATATTTAAAAAAAAAACCCAAACTAAAGAAGTATCAGAGGAATGGTACTTGGAATTGGCAAATACACAAATTTAAACACTGGTACTTGTATTGTACTGTATTGTATTTTTTGTGGGACATAGTTTTAGGACAGCGCAAGTTCAAAGTTCATTGGCATTCAAATCCAGGCGATGTATTTGGTAAATAAGTCCCGACTCCATGAACAGGTGTTGTAAGGAGTGTTTTGTTACCCTGCATCATGCTCCTGTAGGCGGTGTCGGTGATGGCATAGATGTGAGGGGGCATCTCGTGTCTCTTCTTGCCCTTGTACATGTTGACTATGTCCTCAGTGTAGATGGGCAGGTATTTGTAAGGGTTGACCACAACACAGAAGAGACCCGAGTAGGTCTGGGCGGGAAAGAAGACAGAGGTTAAACGGGTCTAACCAACAGGTGACAGAGATCTCGATTGTCCGTAAAAACAAAAATAACTACGTGGTATACTATGGTATTCTACTATGGTCAATATGATTGTTGTAATAATTTATATGGACACTGTACTAAAAATGTACATTACCCAATAGTACTTACAGTAATTACTCTTTTTTTTCTACCCACTAATTTCTCCTGTGTTTACGATTACCCTGACCGGCCAATCACATTGCAGAGTCTGATTCTGAAGGTATTTTAATTTCAAATGTACATTTTTTTTCCTGCCAATGCTGGCTGGTGCTTGCTCATTATTTGGTTAACCACAAATATTGTAATCTTGTTTTTCGCTTGAATTTCTTTTTATTTACATGGAACATAGGTGTTTTTGTTGAGTTGTCTTTTCACGTGCCGACTGAGACAAACGTGTTCAGTGAATGTGGAAAATACAATATATAATTTGTGGTCATGGTGTAAGATTTTCTTACGTAGATGAGTCCAGAGTAATATCTGTCCTTGAGGTTGTGCAGCACAGAAGCCTCATTCAGACAGGTGAGCTCAGCCATGTCCTCCACTTTGTTGAACTTAGGAGGGTTCATCTTCTGGATGTCGTCCTTGTTTACCTTCACCTGAGGTTTACACAGCAAAGACATATCAAACACCTCCTAAACCTGTCTTTGATTTTGTCTCTACCTGTCTCTGATGAGTGAATGCTAACAAATTGCTAACTCATCTTCCACAGCTTTATCCTGACTACTATGTTGACTATAATATAATAGTAGCTTTACTGCTAATACTTCTAGACTTTGTTTATGAAACAAATTAGTTCCAAATTCTCTCAAAGAACATCGTTTCTCACCTTCTTGCCAGAGTCGGTGAGCTCCACCACACACTCTTCTCCGTGTTCCTCTTTCAAAGAGCCGGCCTCGAAGCCCATCTTCTCAGAGGGAACCCACACCAGCTTTTTAGAAGACCAGTCGGCCTGAACCAGGGGGTTGTTCACCCCGCTGCGGTCTCCATACAGGAATTTGTCTGCGTCGGTCATGGTTGCTGTAGAAGAAAGGAGGGAACATCTTTGATCATCAACTCAGTGATGGAATTTCAGAACCATCTCATATGGTGGACATCAGTACCAGTTTGAAGTGTTATGATAGAATTGGTTTTCAACAGAGCTTTGGAGACGAGTAACGTATAGTAGTGTTCCTGTAGCATGAGAGGTGAGGAGAGGTGAAAGCACAGGTTTGGGCACATTACCTAATAACAGCTGACATCACATGCTGCTCCACTGTATAATTATTGAGTATCATGTAAATTATTCTCCTATGGCCCATAAACTCTACTGTGCACAGACACTCTTCACACTATCACTTCCCTTTATAAACAGGCCTGGAATGTCAGATGGTTTTTTGTTGTTGTTTTTTTAACAACACATATCACTTTTTTACACTAGGTCCACAGTGTGACTCCGCCTTTTAATTCTACCTGTCCATACTTTATTTCCAGTGTGGCCCACATTCCTTCCTCACCAACTCATTACACAGAATTCCTCAGATTCCAGACTACCTTTCCCAATGTCACCATATACAATTCGACTGCAACGTTCACACTTTCTGCCTAATGTCAACAAAAGTGTCGTCATTGGACGTTTGACCACAAGACTAAGACAAACAGTGTCTGTGATAATATATGGAACTGGTGGTGAAAGTTAAAGTTAAAGTCTTAACCAAGACAGTGCAGAGATAGTGAGTTACCAGAGAAGCAGAGAGGAAAGAAACAGAGGCAAGTCTGGGCATGAGGAGAAATGTCATTATTCCACGACCACACCCTGGAGAAAGGCTCCGTGCTTCAGTGAGGGGAGAGTTCAAATTAAAATACCCACTAAACAGGACAGAAAAAAAAACACCCACACACCCCTGGATTAAGCTTTTCATCTGTTGCTAATAATAAAAATGGTGTAGGTCCCTTTTTCTAAAGTGTTTCTCCTCATACATTCAACATCAATTTGAACAAGTTTAGAAGTTCAGCATAGTTTACAGAAGTTATACAATTTACAAGGAGCACTTGGAAAATAAATAGAAGTTTCTATATTTTAATCATAACTGACTCAAAACAGAGTAGTGGTGTTTTTCTCCATTTTTAATAAAAATAAAATTGTGCAGAAGAAAATATTTAAATCAAAGATTTTTTGGCTATAGATATCAGATAAATGGTTTTGAAATACACAGCAGTAAAAAGAAGCTGCATCAGTGCTAGAGTTCCTGAGTAAAAGCAGGAAGAGACGTGTGTGTATGTACATGTCATTAGTGTTTCTATCAGATCATCTGTATCTGGTCGGAGGGGAGTGGGCTCAGACACGCCCACCTTCAACATCACTGAGTTTAGTCATCCATTTAAACCCGACATATCGTCCAGGTCAACTCTAACAAACTAAAACCCAGGCCTGTTACACACTAACACAACAGTGCAAACACACACACAGAGCTTTGATGGTAAAAACCATCAATGGACCAACTTCCTCAGAAAGTTGCACAAAGTGATCACTTTGACACTGCGCCTTAGAAATGACCAAAGCTAATCCACTTTGTTCAGGATTGTCTCTGTGGGTAAACAAATCAACAAATCATTTGTATCCAAAGAAAATAAGGTTGACAGCCGTCTGATTGGACAGTTCACCTGAGAAGACACTCTGCTCTCCACAGCTTGTTAACCTCGTCCACCTCGCTGCCTCCAGATTTAATTATCACTGCAAACTAATTGCTCTTTTCAGCACTTTTAAAAACAACAACAGACAGCATGTGGTTCTCTTGTACAGAGTGGCTCCTCTCCTGTTCTTGGCTGCCAGTCAATCCCTGCTTTATCCACAGCTCTTACCTAACCCTGAGCACGAGCGCTGCCACCTGCAGCCTGTGCTGTTCAAACAGGCCGGCGCTGGGAGGCTGGTGGCGACGTGGACACTGGTGGACACTGGTGAACCACTGACAGAAGACATAGTCCAAACTGTGCAGTGCAGTGACTGAGGTGAAGACACGTTAGGGCGAGGGGACGGGTACAAGAAGCTACATGAAAATGTGGGGCCCAAAGAAAAAAAAACTTAAATTAAAGTGTTAAACGAGGTGAAGACTCGTTAGGGCGGGTACAAGAAGCTACATGGAAATGTGGGGCCCAAAGAAAAAAAAAACTTAAATTAAAGTGTTAAATTTTACCTTTACATCTGATTAAATATTGACTCATGTCAACAGATGAAGCTAACGATCCTCTAAACTGAATCAAAAGAGGAAGAAGTGATTTTTTTCCCTGTTGACTGTGTTCTTTTTACTCGTCCAGAGACAAACACCACGGCCATTTAAACTGTCTTAAAAAGAGAGAGAAAAAATGGCAGACATATCAAGAACAAAACTGTAAAGCTGGATCCTTTTCAGTTCATGTTGAACAATTATATACCCTGAGGGTACAGATCCACACACACACCAGCAGCAGCAGCAGCAGTAGCAGGGTGTGACTGAGGTTGTGTACAGCACAATTACTAAAAAGAAAAAGACAAACATTTTCATCTTGTCCGAGCAGCTATTGAACAATATGGCAGTGTTTGTATAAGCGGTCACACATGTGAAACACACGAGACAGAAGCTGAAATCTAAACAGTGAAGGTGTGAAGTAAAAACGTGAATTGATAGAGTAGAGACAGGACGGTCCTGTTCTTCTTGTTCTCACAGCTGCTGTTCTCGCAGACTGTATTATTGTGCTGGAACCAGACAGCAGGTAAACACAATGATTCCTCTACACTGAACCCCGCTGTCGTTTTCATCATCATCATCATCCTCATCCTCTGTGTACTTTGAATGTTATCTTTATCACCTACTCAACGACGAAGAATGGAGAAATAAATTCATCAACGTTCAAGACAATGTGAAGATAGTTGAGCAACCGCTACTCCGACTGGCTCCTCAGCCTGAATCAACAGAGTTGTTACATTTCACATCGAGACTCAAAGAATTCAGTTGATTCCAACAGGTGTTTCCTTCAAATGACACGGAAATTCACTTTTAACATTTACATATGGCCGTTACATCACTGTAAAACACCTGCAAACACAAATTAAAGTCGGAATTATCCACAGCGGACTCACCTGTTGTTCTGCAGGCACCTCCGCTGCTTCTGCTTTTGCTGCTGCTAAAGGCGGGGGAAAGTGGTTACTGAGCTCCGTCTACTTCCTGGCTCAGTGATGGAGCTTCAGGAAAGGCCCTGTGGTCTACAGACTGTGGTCTACAGACTGCTGTCTCTGCTGTATCCGCTGTTCCAGTTGTTCGGACGAAGCTCTGCCAGGATGGACGGGCAGACAACTTTGGTCAACCCCTTGTTTTAGTTTTCACAGGTACGCCGGAAGCCCCGCCTCCTCTGTGGCCAAGCCCGCGTCGTGTGCTGCGTTCAAGAACACCACGTAAAAACCCAGAGATATGAGCGAGAAGCAGCAGCGTTTCCAAAAACTTAAAGCATTTCCTGTTGTTTTACCAACACAAAGATCACTGTATCTGACCCTGTAGGAAAATGACATTGAAACGGTTATTAAAACAAAGAAACACAAGTAAACAGACGACTGTGAGTAGTCGATATTATATATTGAGCGAAATATAAAATTAAAAAACGTTTTCTTTTTAATGTTTATGTCTGTGTTGTCTATTGTAACAGTATTTGTTGTTCCTTCAAAGGCTAAATATAGAAAGAAATATTTATTTGTTGACAATTTATTTAGTCAATAGTTTGAATGATTTTTTCTTCAAAAAATAAATTGATTTTAGTTTCTATTATATACCAATCACATGACAATCAAATATCTAACTTTTAGTTGTTTGGTGCTATTTCAGTTTTGGAATCTGGTGCAAATGCCCATAAAGAGAGGTTTTTCTTTTTTTTCACCTTTTTACTATTTATACTTAGAAAAAATACACTGTATACAGTACACACACAAGTATTTGTTGTTCCCTTTACCTCTGCTTACAGTACTTCTTTAACCCTGTTTGTTACTTATACAATTATATGACACTTTAAAAAAAAACAAAACAAAACCTTTGTTAAAAACACTTAAGACCTTTTTAAAATAAAAAAACCTTTGTTAAAAACACTTAAGACCATCTAAAAAGAAAAGATTAAAAAAAAGGCCATGACCCCAGAGTGGTTCTGTGCTGAGATATGTCCATTGTTGTACCTGCAACAGGAGCAGGGGTGTGGCATTGGCATCCAAGGTGAAGAGGGAAAAAACAAAATAGAGGATTCAAAGGAATGAATCAGCATGTCACAGTGCTGTCTCCAATATGATTTATTGTTGGATTTTATTATTTTTATGCTGAACGCTTATACGTCAACCATCACTTTTAACAAAGACTTCCTAAATATTTGTTGTACCTTTTAACGCAGTACGCTTCCTGTAAAAAAAAAAAAAAAAAACACAACTTACATAAAGAGAAGTAAATGTGACATGAAGTGAGTTACAACACATCCCAAACAGGAAGAAACGTATACCTACTGTCTGTCTCCATCCACCAATCAGCCTGAGCTTTAATTTCCCTCCATATATGGTCAGGAAGAGAGCAGACTGAGAGAAAATGATCACCAAAGCTGAGAGGTGGAGCGAGGCGTGGACTATTGTGTGTGTGTGTGTGTGTGTGTGTTGGAGGAGTGTAAAATTTCTTTTCCGACCTTGTCATTACCCTGAGCCTCAGTTCTCTTCTTCTTGTTTCAACCCACATCACAGATTGCCTGATAAAAATGTCCAGCATTCATGTTGCAGCATGAAAGATGTAGGACACACACACACACACACACACACAGAGAGAGAGAGAGAGAGAGAGAGAGAGAGAGAAGTGTTGTCACTCTCTGTTCAGTAGAGAGTTGAGGATTGTTGATTGTGTTACTCTACAGTATTTAACTTACTATAATTATCTCACCTCACTAATGTCTGATATTCTCCAGTTTTAATTACAGCAATTACAAACAACCCACACTGCAATAAAGTTAAAGGGAGAACCTGTTTAAATTCTCACTCACTGGTCAACAGCACAAGTCTCATCCCTCCCCTGAGAGTGGTCTCAGATCAGGAGTTGTTTGCACAGTTAAAAACATTACAGTTTTACATGGATGTAACCGTCTTAGTTAAACAGCCTCACACGTTTAGAAAACATGGCTTTAACAATGTAAGCAGAGTTGAAGGGAACAACAAATTACATGTTGTACAGATACAGCCGGGGGGTGGGGGTTCTTTTCTTTTACCTAGACCGGTCTGTACTGCAGCTAGTTTGAAGCCATACAAGTCAGTTAGCTTGGTGAGTTATCATTATCTATTATATATATATATAAATATATAAAACATTTTATTTTGTAGTAATGGAACATAGTACCGGATGTTGGGACGTATGATTGGACAATGACAGGGTTTTGTAAAAGGTCAATTCTCTTCTTTTTACAATAAAAAAAATAAACAATAATAGTAATAACAAATGTGTAGTAAAATTTTAAAAATTAACGTGTAGTTAATGAATTTATTACCAAATTAATAATGCTGGTAAAAAAATTAATATATTTTTTAATAATGCTGGTAAAATTAGCTGCTGGTAATTTTACCAGCAGCTGTGCATTATTTTAAGAGAACACCAAAAGGATATACAGCCAGTGGTTAGCTCTGCTGCTAACAACAGGCACATATTTCTTCTATGACATAAAAAAAGAACTAAGACTAATTCCACATGATCTCCCAGCATCGTCTACCATTAAAATCACAAGTTCTTTGTCTGTAGAGTAAAGCTGCTCTTCATCCTGTTGGTTCATTTTCGCAGCCACAGGGCACAGCGTGTTGTTACATCACTTCATGTTGTAGCAGCGCTTCCTGCTCTTAACGTGAAGCTGTTGACGACACATTTAATAATAATAAAAGAAAAGTTGTTTTTTTCCCTGCACATTCCAACAGTGTAGACACCACAACAACGCGGTCCAATTCACATGGACACTACTGAGTAACAAACAGTCAGCCTGGTCTGCTGTTGTATAAATGTTACACTAACAGATGAGGCAGAATCGTGTCGCTTCATGTCCTGCAGGTAACTGAGCTGAACGGGGGCGGGACTGTGAGGGGGCGGGCGACGAAGGTTGTATCTTAAAAAAAAAAGAAGTGGTGAGGATAGTTGGCATCTTTGTATGCGAGTTTATTTTCAGATGTGTTTGAACACGTCGGCTTATCTGTGTTCTGAAGGAGAACGTTTTAATCCTGACCCACGCGACAATCAGTAGTTCTACAAATTCAGGTACCAAGACTTCTTGGATGCAATGCTTCCCCCCTGTGGACAACACTATACATTACGAGCAGAACAACTCATTCGTTGCATTTTAAGACCGTGAAACAATTTTAATTGAATTAATCACAGGGTAGTTGCAATTACTTTATCACAATTAACGAGAATAAATTAAAAATTCCTAAATATGGTAAAAAAAAGTTAGGCTTGCCTGAAAAAATATAACATATTTTAAACATTAGCACTACAGAAAATAATAATAAAAAATTACACTTTGTGTATAGTATATAATGTATATAGTTAGTCAGTTTATATGAAACATTCTGTTGGAAAGAAAAAACATTAAAGGTGAGGATAGATTTTTATGAGTTTTTATTTATTTATTTGTTTGATTTTTAAGTGTTTTTTTTTTCTCCAAAAAATCCTGAGGTATTCACAATATAATGGCATTTAATCTGTTTGAAATGACACAGGGGAGTGGGGCGGAAAAAAAACAATACAGCCAGGAAAATAAAAATTTAAAATAAAATAAACCAAAAACAAACACATGGATTTAAAACGAGCATTAAAGCTGTGTTGACTAATACAACTGTCAGAGACAATAGATCTGTGGTGTTAAACATACACAAGAAACTTATCATCAGCAGTGAATCAGGTCAGTCCCACAACCACCTGCTGCAAACCAGCAAACTTTCTTAATCCACACCCAGCTCTGCATCGCATGAAAACCAAACAACAAATGTGTCCCAAAAAAGCTAACGGAGTGTAAGTAAAAACAAGCCATTCAGTTTGCTATCAGAGTTGTTATCATCAGCTCAAATAGGAAAAGCCTAAAAAACCAAAACCTTAAAAAAGGAAAAACAGCCTGCTTTGTGGCAGCATTCAGGATTTACTGGATAAAAACATCGATGAGTTTTTTCTTTTATCAAATACATCAGGATGGTGATTTAAAACATTAACGGTTGGATGTTTTTGTCAGACCATAAAGACGGAGGTCATCAGCAGCAGATTTCTACTGCAAAGTTACAATTATTGTCATTAGGTGAGCATGCCTCCAGGTCTGTTTGCCCTCCACATAAAAAAAGCAATAACCATAAAAAAATAAACAAACCAAAGAAAAAAAATCATACAAATGACCAATAAATAAATATCAGTGATAAAAATACACTGTTGAATTATTTTCTTGTTCTGTGTCACAGATTTACACGATTGGTAAAATAACTGCTGTGACTAAGAAAAATAAGGAAAGCACCCGACATTCTCCTTTCTGCACAACAATCTAACATCTGCAACACAAAACCAAACAAACACACACAAAAATAAAACCCATCACAAGTGCAACATCAGCCACGACAGTCTCAGCATTAGGGAAGGAAAAAAAAAAAAAAAAAAGCTCTGGTATTAGACCGACCAGCTCAACACTACAGCATCAGAACAACCAGGAAGAGTACAAAAATAATCATAAATTTAAAAAAATAAAATAAAATTTAAAAGTAGTGAGAAGGGATTAAAGGAGGGGCGTGGGTGTGGGCATAAAATAACAGCACACATTATAGACCCTAACTGGGATAACAAGAAATCAACTGATCGTGATAACTGATCAGAGAGAAAACATTATAACAATAATAATTAGAATTAAAAAATACTATCAGATTCTCAGTTCAGAGGTTGTCTTTATGTGGCGGACAGACATTACAGCGTGATGGTGAGTGACCTCGATCCACCTCGCCCGTCAAAGAAACCTGGGATCAACCATGTCATTTTGTTCAATTTGGTGTTGTCCTTGCCCTGAATTATAACAACAATAAAAAAAAAAAAAACCCACAAAAATAAAAGTAATCATAATCAAAACAAAACAATGGACAAAAATAAAAGCTAATAATAATAATAATAATAATTACCATATTGTAAAGACTTTTGGTAGACAAATAAACATCACACTTCTTTGCTCGCTCACACGGCTGAATGAAAAGAGAAGACACGGGTCACATGGGTGAGGGGGGAAACAGGACGTTTGTTTTTAACAAACACCGTCTGCTAATGACGATACAGCTTCACCTCGACGTCTTCCAATCTCAGGCGTAGACAGTATATAAAAAATGGATGTTATCTTTTGGTTGCAAAAGTTAAACCACATTGGTGACGGGGAATTCCTTACCCTGGTTTTAGAAGTAAAGCACTAACCACTCTTCTATTTTCCTCTAAATAAGACTCAAGTCTTTGACACTGACATTGTGTTCTATTAGAGGAGGACTCTCATACAACAGTCTCTATGAGAACATGTTCACTCATGTTGGAGATGGTGTACTAAGTAGTCTGATTTACTGAAGATCTTTTGCTCTACCACCAGGCAACTTTAGTTTGCAACCTGCGGAGCACATCGATTTTTAATATACAATAATGGAAAACGTATATGCAAATTTTAAGAAGAAAAAAGAGGCAAAAGTGTGTGTCTACTAAGAACACAATAAAGTCACAATTTTTTCAAAAACAAAAAAATACCGTCTATATGTGTAAAAATCATAAATAAGAATAAATTTTTGTGCATCCCCAAGCCAACTGACTGTTGCGTCGAAAGAAAAACCAAAACAACAAAACCATGGTAGTTACAGCGGTGACAATAACATGCAGTTGATGATATACATTACAGCATTAATCTGTATCTCCTCCAACACTACAGAACTTAGTGTGACCCTCATCCCTCCCCCGAAACCCCAGTACAATCCTTAAATATTTGTCAGCTCATTCAAAAATTATATCTTGCGTTTTCCACTCTGTGAACTAGCTGTGGGCAGGCAGAGGGCGCTGAAACAAAAACACACTGTTGCTAAATTAAGTTTATCTGTCTATGTACATGAGGCTTCTCTCCTGTTCAAGCAAGCTGACATGGGTTCAATGACTGCATAGTGAAAATGATATTTGGTTTACTTACAGATGGGGTGACCACACACACACAAGCACCCAGGCGCACACACACACACACACTACTCGCCCGGTGCCATTTGTGGCCATTCTTCAATTCCTGTGAGTATATCAGCATTGTATTCAACTAAACAGGACCAGGTTACACAACGAGTAAGTAAATTATGAGAAAATTATATTTCATAACAGTTTTTGTGACATTTCTGTTTGGATTTTTCTAAAGTTGTGAAACACTGGTATAGCTTATTGGTTACACAAATTCTTGTATTAGCCACACAAAAGTCTGCCATTAGTTGAAGAGCAGAAGTTGAACTATGTAGGACAATTCTGTTGCGGCCCACACCCATACGCAAAGTCCAGTGCAACTACCAACCAAATTACAGAGGGCGCTAATGCATTTGGGCACCTCAGTTACTACAGATACTGAGTCCAGACACAGCCGTACAGTCTGTATGATCAGGCCTAAATGAAGTCCTGACATTTTTGACAAGAACGGCTTGAGCATTTTCAAAACGTTCATTCTTTGGGAGCCAAAAATGAATAGTTTCACAAAGGCGTAGTCACTGGCTGACATCTGTCTGTGTGTGTGTGTGTGTTTGTAAAACAATATTGGTTTAATGAAAGCAAACCTCACCAGGGGAGACGGGCTCCAGCTTTTTGTTTGGACACAATTTAGCTGATACAGAGAAACAGAGTTTAGACAGTGAATGTTGCAGCACCGCTCTGAGTGTTTACATATCAGACTGCACCGATGACGCACCACAGCTGAGGGATGCTAGGCACCAGATCCAGGCTTATATACATTAGATCCAGGCCATGTTTAGCCTTGACACCTGTTATTTACAAGGGCAGAAAAGGCAACTCTGTTTGTTCTGGAATATAAACCGTGGCTTTGATTTTTGTCCAGGTCAGTGCTGGCATCAATGTTGAATCTCACAAATACTGAGCAAACACAGCTGTGCCAATGCTTTACTTCTTCTGCTCAAAGGCCTGTATCCTGAAGTTAATGTTTTCTGGGGTTTTTTTCTGTTAGCTTCTACGGGGACTTAATTTGCCTGTTTTGACAAAACTTTACGAATGTATGCTAAATCCAGTGGACAAACCAGATGGGTTCATGAAGGTGTGACCCTTCTAATGTTACTTCTCCAATAAAGAACTATGGTAAGACATCGGTTGCTCAAAAGCAGAATTAGTCCATTTCCTGTTTTGTTTACTTTAGCTACTCTTCAGTTTTATTTTTCTATTACTGTTGTTGTTCTGTTAGTACAGTTATTTTGCCATGTGTACGTTAAGAAACAGTAAGAATTAAAAGTAAGATTTCATCTTTATGTGTATGTTATCATGTACTTTTACAAATAGAGCTAATTACAACTAATGTACTAGTGTACTCAATCAGACTAAACCAGGTTGCTGTAAGACTACCTGTATGGGACCACATTTTCCAGACTATACTATTGATGTTATTCCCCATCACTGAACTGACCCTCAGTGTTGCTTCTAATGAAGGAAGACGAAGCATCGTCTCCTCTTCTGCTGAGCTGTCGTCAGAGTAACTGTCAGCATCAGCTCCAGCAGTTAGATTTTTTTTTCTGCTGCTCCATCGCCAGTTTAATTTACTTTAGTGCAAATTTTCAGTGGTCTAGTAGAGACTGCCCTCTTGTGGCCATAGGTATTTTAGGGTAATATCTTTAGTGAAATTACTTATAGCCTGGTAAAAAAATGGCATGTAAAACATTAAAACAATAAAATAAGAAACATTTTTCATGTGTTATTCTTGTTATTCTTCATCAACTTTTTTTAGTTGTTGACCTTGGAATACAAATTGTGTTCTGTTAGCCTGTCTGGATTATCTGTTCAGGTCAGTTGAAGTAGTCTAAACTAAACTTCCTGACACAGGCCAGTCCAACTTACTGAGCAGAAAGCTGACTTTTATTGCTTGGCTCTTGGTTGTAGTGTTTGCGCACCAGTCTCCCCCTGAACAGTACATGACACACAGCACCCTTTTCATACTCATACTCATACATACACACACACACACACGCACACACCCTCTGCCACTAGCTACAGAGAGATTTCATATATATCATAGCTGAGAGTAATCATTTATAATGTCAATAACAATAGTCATAACAATAACAACAACAACAACGCTCGTAGTTTTTGAGTTGTGGACACCTTTGGTGTGAACTGTCAAAATTGACAAGCTTGCAGACGACCTGTAAACGGATGGAGGGACGGATGGATGTTATAGAGAGCACCTGGACAGACAGACGTTTCCTTTAATTTATATCTACACTGTACAGAGTCGTAGTGTGACTGCTGGATAAAGACTTACTACTTGTGTAACATATAGAGCTACATTTAAATTGTTTATATTGGGTGTGTGTGTGGGTTAGTAGTAGTTTTGTGAAGTCATGCTTCCTGCACTTCCTCTTCTGGTCAGACTCTAAACTTGCTTTTGCCACCTTTGCATTTGCAACTCAATATTTGGTAATGTCGACTTTGCATTATTTCATTTATTTGGCTTAAAAGAAAATGAAAAAAAAAGTGACAGCAGCATCTAAAGCAATAAAAAAAAGTAGCAGCAGTAGCCATGTAATAAATAATATGGTTGCAAAGTGTATCAACATTTATGAACTCCTGCTAAAATCACAATCACTAGGTTGGCGGAAAACCAGAAAAATAAACTTCCCATGTAGCTCCACACTCTGTCCTTATGCCATCTTATTCTACCATGCTCGACTTTTCTCTATTCCTCATCCGACTTTCAAAACTCTGTCTCCATACACCCTGACCTTTCTCCACTTCTTTACCGTTTCTACTTATCCTTTTCCATCAGACAACATTTCCCAATCTCTCTTTTTTATGCCACGTTACAGTTTCCTGTCTCATTCAATGTACTCCTTAAACCTCTGTGTTTAGCAGTGATTTGGTTTGGTGAACAACGTGGACAGGGAGTATGCTTTGGCTGTGACTCTATGACAGAATGCTGGCAAGCAACCCATTCAATCTCTGAAAACCTGTGCCAGCTAATTACATCAAGACGTTACAGAGTGACTCAGAGATTTTGAAAATCTTCGTCTGTGTCTTTCTTCAATTCCTGCCTATAGAGCAGCATTGTGTTTAACTAAACAGGCCCAGTTTTACCAATGAGTACATACATTTTGGATAAATGGAAACTAGAAGATAATTATCATTCTACCATATAGGGGAAGTGTAATCTGACTCAAACAAAAATATGGACGTACTCAGTGAATGCTGCTCTCTTTGGCAGTAGTAAATTATGTTTAGCCACATCTGCTAATCACACAGTTTTGTGTTAAGACAGAGTTCTGTCTTAACTATTTTATAATAAAGTTCCACAAAGGGTGATTTTAACTTTGATTAGCATTTTAGCTAATACCTCAAATGGCCTATCCCGAGTATAGAATGTAAAATGTTCACAGGCACAGGTCTAAACAGCTTACATCGACCAGAAACAACCAGCACTACACTCATCCTTTGGTGTGTAAACAGTGTGGGGCAGTGCATCACACTAAAACAACGGCAGCAGACAGAGAGGTGGACAAAGTAGAAGAGGTAGATACACGGAGTGGAGTAAAGATCTCACCACCAGTAAAATCTACTTCACTTATGCACTTTGTACAGGATTATCTCTAGAATTTACATCTTCTCAATGCAGAGCTCTCTGCTTGCATGTCATTTTTTACTTCCAAACTTCTATCTCTCTGATTGCTGTAACATTACTTTGGCCATCAGTCTCACCTTTCACTGCATTTCCTTTAACAGACACTCACTTCAGTCCTATCATGTCTTTCGGTGCTCATTATAAAAAAAACCCAACTAAAACTAAAGCATAAAATAGCTCCTACAACTACGAGACTAAAATAAAACACTAATTTTTTTGGAAACTTTTTTTTTCATTACATTTCTCCAATTATAATAGCACATATGACAGACACAATGACTATTACTATTTGTCCTTAACTGGTTAGTGCGTTAGTGTTAAGGTGATGAATATAAAGAACGAAATTAATAATCTTACTTAAAGGAATGACACGTGTTAACACACACGCAAACAATAATGCAACCTGAGGATGAGTGATAGTCCAAACACCTGAAGAAACACCACTGCATTCGACTTTGCTGTGTCTTCCCTTACATTTATGTACAAGTGATTGACGGTTGATCATTTCGCAGATGCTTTGTTCCAGTGTGTAGTGACTACTCTGTTGATTGAAAGACCTGGATAAATGCTTCAGAGATACCCTTGTCTAAATAAATGTAAATAATGTAAAAACACCCAGAAGACAGACAGACATACACACACACATTAATAACAGGTGTGTGTGCCAAGTTAGATATTCTGCGGTGAAACAGTGTAATATTGTGTAACAGGGTGAATGAAAAAGGCTACTGACTACAGAGTCAGCCTTTTCCTGTTCACTCCTCCCCCCGTCTGCCTGTCCAGTTTTCATTTCATCACGTCAAAGATAACACATCTCTCCCTTCATCTTTCCATCTGTCCTTTCAGAGCCCTCCACAGTGTCCTTTGCTTCTTTTTACCCCTAAGGTGGCCCTCTGGTGGACAGATGGACAGGTGGTCTGACTCAGCCCATGCTAGGCTTAGCTGATGACGCTGGACTAGACTAGAACAGACTGAGTCTTGGCTTGGCAAAGCTAAGGCTAGACTAGACGAGCGTGTAACTAAGCTAACATTCATCTGGACTAGGCTACCTACTGAAGAGTGAGTGGAGCTGGTGCTGATGGCTGTAACACTGGCTGCTGCGAAGTGTCTCGGTGCGATCCATCACTGTCTGAAACCAACCGGCCACGTCAACATCCACCACCTCATAACGTCGGATGAAATTATGTTTCTGTGTGACAGAGACGTACACAGATACAACTTGTAAGTTCTTTTAAACCATCAACCACACATTTTTGCTCACATTTACTGAAGACTTACCAGCAGCTGGTGATATTTTGGCCTTTTTCTGTGATCCTTTGTAAGGCTGTAGAGGGACATGCACATGAAGATAATGACGTCTACATGTCAAGATGAAAATATTCGGTTGGAGACAGAACTTTGAACTCACCAGTCTTTGACGAAGGACTGGAAGTCGAGAGAGAAGCCCATGCTGAGAGGCAGCAGTGGAGGATCTTCCTGCAGCACTTTGGTCAAAACCTCAAAGTCTGTCTTACAGTTTTTGTAGGGAACCTGTCCAGTAGCCAGTTCCACCTGCAGAAACAAAATTCAACAACTGAATGATAACAGGTGTCTGATTTGATGCTTCAGTTTTGTATAACTGGCACATTATCCTCGGTAAAAAATAAATACCTTTTTTTATACTAGTGAAGACCCATACTTTAACCATTTTTTAATACATTTGAAAATAAACACGTGTTGTGGAAAGTGATTTTAATTTAAATGAGATGAACCTGGTTACATTTTAATTTCATGATAATTGTTACAACAAACTGTATTTGTTGTGTGTTTTATATTCAAGCTGTAAATAACTAATAGGGTTCACCAGTATAAAAAAAGAAAATGGCACAATGACATGTGTACTTATAGCTAAAATGAAGGCAGATTTACCAGAGAGATACCAAGGCTCCACACGTCTGCTCTGATGTCATAGTCAGGTTTAGTGGGATCAGGTGGGTCTATTCTTTCAGGCTGCAAAACAAAAGGGGACAACAGCGCAGGGCCTTCAAGTTCTATGTACAAACTCACATGTTAAACTTGTATTTTTTGTTTTTGAAGCAGTAATGCTTAGTGACTGTGTTTAAGCTTGAAGATGGACTTGAGGAAGAGGAGTATGTGCTTGTCTTCACTCACTGCCATGTAGGCAGCACAGCCAGCGCTGCGGGTCTTGGCTTTGGAGTCAACGAGGCGTCCACTGATGCCAAAGTCGCAAAGTTTGATTTGACCTTTAGCATCGAGGAGGATGTTGGAGGGTTTGACGTCACGGTGGATGACACCATGTGTCTCTTTAAGGTACTGCAGCGCTTTCACAATCTAGACGAGACATGCACATAAGATAAAGATAGTCGGTACAAATCTATGGTGCTGTAGATTGTGTTGATGTGTTTCTTCTACTTACAGCCACTGTCATCTTTCCTAGGATCCGCTCTGGGATGGGGCCTTGGATTCTCTTCTTTAGCTTCTCTGCACATGTTCCCATTAGTTCCATGGCAATAAATACATCGGTCTGCACATGCACAGAGACACACATGCTGACTAAAACTGAAGCAGAAAAGAAGATAATGTATTTGAGGGACACTTACATTAGTAACTATGGCGCCGTAGCACTGTATAATGTAGGGGCAATCGTGACTTTTGAGCACAACATCCAGGTCCATAAGAATCCTTTTGTTCTCATCCTTGTTTCCTGTGCGACGCATTTGCTGAAGACAGACACACACGCACACATAGGTTACAACTAGTAAAGAAATACTTAATATTTAAATCACACCATTTAACAGACAAATAGCATGCACCTTCCCTCCATCTACAGCAGGAGGTGCTAAGAATTCTTTTCTGGGAACTACCTTTGACTAATTCTGTGATATGTTGTTTTCCTGCATACATTTAACTGGAGTAAACATTTGATACTAATACAAAAGGGCACCAAACCCACTACCATCTTCCCTTCAGAGGAAGTCTGTGAACAGACTGTCTTCGTAATTGTTAAACAGCGAAACTACTACAATTAAGTGTACTGAATGGAGCAGGGCTGTTATTTAGGGTTATTACTGCCACTGTGTTGGTAAACTCACCATAATTAAAGTACAACAGCAAGTGACACTGTGACTGAGCTGAGCTGAGCTTCATTGTACTGTATGTTCTCTGTTTATGTTTCTTATGATGTGAGGACCATCAGAGTAGCTGAACTAATAGACAACAGCCTTGAAGCAAAAAGAAATACAACTTCAACTTTGACAGCACCTCCCCTTTGTCAGTTTAACAAGAGCTCATAATGTCTGTGTCGATTCTTTTCAGATCCATGTGTTGAATGAACAAAAGATGGAAAGGTAACATTCAGAACCACATTCGTTACATCGCCTACACAAAACAAAAGCATAAATATCTGTATCTGATTTTGTTGTAGTAACAGATGCTTTGTGGTTGGCTGATCACAAGGATGACAAATTCATCAGCAAATGACAGTGTGAAGCAAGATCCTGTTTACACCCAGGCAAATATTTTACATGGCAGAGTGAAGTTGGTTGTGTGAGAGGTGTTGGTGAAGCGCAGTGAGCTCTTACTTTGACAGCAATGACATGACCCGTCTTCTTGAATCGTACTTTGAAGACCTGTCCACAGGTCCCACTGCCAATCTCCCCCTCACTGAACAGGTCTGCCACCTCTGCTGGATACCGCTATAGACACACAGCATAAAAACACATGATTTAAAACCTGTTTCTTCTTCATTAAAAGGAAAATGCAAATTCTGCAGAAATGAAACTGCAAGTGTCAAGATGAACCTAAAAACCAGCACAATGGACTGGCGGATGTACAGTTAAATTACCAATTTTTACCTATGATTATTTATCAGATGGCAGAAAAAATAGCAACTGGATTGTCGACATGGGGAACTCACCTGACCATCAATCTTCAGATATCCTGTCTGTTTCATGATCTCCTGAAGCTTCTGGTCAATCTCTGCACTGTTATAACACAAAATCACACAATGTCTAGAGACGCAGGTGTCCACAAACCCATCTGCACTGAGACTCATCATCTCATTAATGATGTAAAATCTACTACAAGTGGTAAGTGTTGACATACTTCTCTAAACTCTTCTGAAGGTCATATGGAGGTGTGGGCAGGGTTAGCATGTGTCGTGGGCGGCTGGGATTGGTGTGGTGCTGGGGCGAACTCTCAGAGGATGACGAACGACTACCTCCGTCGTTGGCGAGTGGCAGCTGGAGCGCTGGAAGGAAAGGTTGGTCAAGATGAGACACTTTAGACACAGACACAATACTAAAGGGTAGAAGTAGAAGAAGGCCAACATGCTGGTGTTTGACGATTACTTAGTGGCTGTGTGTCTATGTAGGACCTCAGGTCAGTTTCTTCCAAAGTAGGTAATTAAAGGTCAACTGAACCGTCTTTGTTTCTAGAAAAAGTATCACCTCTTATCCAAGACACTTCCTCAATTCTAAAAGACTACTGGTATTTTGCCTCTAGGTGGCCAAATCGCCTGGGTCAAAGTTCAAACCTTGACCACATCCTAAAATTAGGTCAGGGTGTGGTCACCTCCTTTAATTTGCTATTATTGCTCTCCTTTCATGTGTTTCGCTACATTGAGGGTTAATACCAGGATTTTTCCCACAGTCGGTTAGTGGTAAAAAAAACCTCCTAGATGAAATGTCTTCGAGAAACCAAGACGGTCCAGTTGGCCTCTACTTAACTGCTTTGGTTGTTCCCTGTATGTCGCAGTGGATAATTAGCAGTAATGTTAAGGCATTAGCAGGAGTAAAATGTTGTTTTTTTTTAACAGAAATAAAGTGTGTTGTATACCATATGAATGGACTGCTCCAGGTGCCTTTTCAGGCTATATCAACTATATATTCTATATTGAAAAATATTTCTCCATGAATTTCCTGTAAAGAGGAGAAACTGGCCTTGGTGAGGTCAAGGAGTGCTTTCAGAGAAACTTAACCTTGTTCACATTTTAAGCTACAGCTTTGTTATTTTTTCATTGTTGTCCCAACCCAGTGTTAAAACAATGAGGACTGTTATCTCAGGGCAAAAGCAAAATATTTCAAACAGAGACATCAAAGTGTTAGCCTTAGTGCAGGGCACAAACTACATGTTGTTTGTAAAAGAAAAATGACAATTCATTTATATTATTATTGTTGTTGTTGTTATTATTATTTAACACTTATTCCGTGCAGGTAACGCAAGACACCACAATTAAGCTTAACATGTGTTTAAAAAGTAAATCACGAGCTTGAAAACCAAAAAAGCCAATCTAGAAATTATGCAATGTTAACACTTATTCCGTGCTGTTAAAAAGAATACTTAAGTAATGCTTTTTAGTACTTTGTTATCCAAATAGTCTCACAATCTGACCTCTGTACATTCACCTAACACTACAGGTTACTGACATTGCACAAGTGATTGACATTGAAGTGGGGAGGGAATGGAACAGCCTCCTGTCTGATAAATAAAATGGTAAATTCATGCATGATTGAACATGTTAAAACCTGAAGGACCTTGTAACGCCCAGTGTGTGTGTGCGCGTGTGTGTGTAACAGCTGGTTTCCATTAAATCTATTAAAACTATTTAAGGAGGGGAATCTGTAGAGGTATCAGTTCAAACCTGTCACACCATCTTGTGCTCAGATGGTGTTAGAAGCCTTTATGACAAACTGATGATAATCAAATGAGGTTTTGGACCTGTTTTTAAATAAACAACTCTCAGATAAAACATTTAACCAAATTGCATAATTGGTAATGTGTTTTTGATGTAGCGGGTTGACAACTCCCGTGAGAATACCAGCTGGTATTTGGATCCATGAGTCACCTGTGCAGGGGGCTCAGCCTGTAAACAGAGAACTGTTTAATGAAGAAGAGGGGGAGGAGGAGAAGAAGGAGTTAGTTTGGAGAGAAAGGAAGATGCAGGCAGTCTTTGGCACAGACACGTCTCCACTGTTTGGCTGGCTCCAGGTGGAAGGATGGGAGTATAGACAGGCAGACAGAGCTAGGAGTGTGGGAGACACATAAACATTGATTGCAGGCACTGCTGCATGGCCTCTGCTCACAGAGTGCTGCTGCAAAAGGAAGGAAGGAGGAGGAGGAGAACCAAAGGATGCCAGAAGATGAAAAACAGGCAACGAGTCTGACGGAGAAAACGAGGGGAGAAGATCAGCCAGAACTACACAGCACGGACCGAAGCTGGGAGTCAGACAGACTCGGACGAAAAGGAAGTTCTTCGGTCAACACAGTGAGACAGTGAAGCCGGAGTGTTGATAGCACTCCTGCAGACAGACCAGGTGGGATGCTGGATTAGAGAGTGTTTCAAACGATATTCAACCCAGACCACTGTGTCGTGCAGAAAAGCCACATGCAATGTGATTCTCTGCCTCCAGCAAAACAAAGGTTAATATTCCGACACATGTCCACACACATGAATCCAATGTGACCATCAACACACACACACACCAACACTGCCCTGCCACTGGCATACACAGGCGGAAAAAGGGGAAGGGATGGAAAGATGGAGAGAGGATGTGACTCGAGAGGAGGTGTGAATAAAATGTTGGGCTAAAATATCAGCACTGGTCAGTGACTGGGTCACAAAACTTTTTCCCTCAGCACAGTTCATAAAAACTACTGAATACTGTTGTGAGTAAGAGGGTGGGAAACAATGTTAACGTGTTACCACTTTGATAAATACCTACTTTTTAAAAACCTACTCAACTTGCTGTGATGTGGGTTACTGTTTTGTTTTAAAATAAATAGAAAAGAACTGACTGGCTATGTCACTAGAAACAGATGATTAAATAGTCTTAACTAGTCAATTGTACAGCAGCAAATTCAAATGAATTTATTCTTGAACACACAGTTCAGACAAATTATACAAGTTCTTATTAAGATTCAGAGCATCTGACAAATGTTTTTTATGTGACTGTGTCACAATTTTTGTACACCAGATGGACAGGTGTATTAATAAAAGATTCATAGAAATCCACACATGAATGCAACTGAATTGCCAATAAAGTGAAGGGAAAGTGGGGGCAAGTAAAAGAAGTGCAGTGGCAGAGAGGGTGATGGATTGAATGATACCTGCACGCTGGGAAGGGGCTGGAGCAGGACTGAGCTGGATCACGATGACTAAACAGAGGAAAGAAAATATACACACACTCACATTACTACGGAGACTTTCACACATGAGCACACACCTAATCCCTCCCTCATATTAGACAATAATGATAACTTTCATTCACTTCTTCTTTCTTAAGAACTCAAAAAAAAAAACAACCTCCAATCGGCATAAAAAATAGTTTTGTTGAGATCAACCTAATATTACTTCCATTAAATACCAAAGTTTTTCTGATTTAGTATCCTAAACCGCCAGTGGCATCCAGTGCTGTACAATGATGGGGAATTCACCCATCAAGTGAGGGATTCTGAAAGACTGTTTTCTGACAGTTTTAGATGATGACAGCCTCATGGCAGAATGATTAACGTTAATTAGAGGCCCAAGTTGCTTACTTATGACGGAGCTCTTCTCAGGACAAACTCCTTCAACATGAAATGATGAGAACTATTACATAAAAGTCAGTAGTCGGCTGTGACCGATCCAATCCAGCCAATACTGAAAAAAAGTAACTTGTATTTCATTCTGTGTACTAATAGTTGATTTCAACATAAAGACATTTTTAAGTAGTGTCATCATGAATACAGAAACAACACCAAATTATCGTCACAATGAGACTTAAACACTTTCTGTGTATAACTTTGAAGACCAATAGTTATTTAAATGGGGTGTGTAACAGTACATGAAAATATTATTTTATCAACATTTGTATACCTTCATGTACATTTCTTTCACTGCACTGTATGCCGCAACAAATTCTTCGTAGGTGAAAACCTACCTGGCAATAAAAACATTTCTGATTCTGATTTTGAATTAAAAATATGTACAGGGTAAACAGGATTTTTCACTGCTTTTGTACTTTTATTTTCTTGGTAGAAGTCATTATCACATTCCACTGATGCTGTTTCAAATGACTTATCCTGTTTGATGTATTAGCAGATAATATACATTACGATTTAAAAAAATATATAATTTGGGCTAATTCAACCCAGGCTGTGTAAATCGCTGGAGTAAGTTTATCTTCTTAGCCTCAATCCTCATTTCCATATCAGCTGTGTTGGATCATATGTTATATTATTATTTATCATAACAGAACTCACAATCATCTAATAACATAACCACTGTACACGTAGAGGTTGTCTGGATTTCCCCTTTTAATGGTTCAGTGATATGATACCATTCTGACTTCATGAATCATTGCATTTTTTGATGACTTTTATAACAACTGCCACCTTGTTCATACTGCCATATAACAGTAACATGATACTATTAAACCCACACAGAAACAAAAAACAAAAACAACTCCACAGATTTTTTTTTTTTAAATTGAGTCACTGCAAAACAAAACAAAAATTTTTTTTAAAAATTGAGTCACTGCAAAACAAAACAAAAAATCATGAATGTAACAATAATAAATGTGCGTCACGAAGACAGTGAGCTGACTGATGCTGGGAGTACCAGTAAAAGTAGCTTAATTGTTAGATTAAATTGCCTCTTGAAAAAGATGCCACTTATTTACTATAACTGAATCTCATTTAAATGTGTGGGTCCACTTGACTTATCTGTGTACAGTAAACACCATCACAGTAGAGTAAAACCATTAAATCAATTCACCAATGTCTGATTGAAAACAGAACCAAAAAATGACTTGATAAGAAAATAATAAACATAATTTCAAGCTGTTTTAATTAACTTAATCTTATCTTTAAAGGAAATTGCATATAATGCGTAACACATTTAATAGCTACAACTTAATATATGTGTGTTACACCACTGTAGTTTGTGTAGTTAATTATTCTTAACTCATAAGCAACCACAGGGAAAAACTACTAATGCATTTTACTCCCCCTTTTATTTACAAACTTTCACCTCATTCACATATTTTTCTTACTTCGTATATGTTACTGTTTTTAACCCTGTTACGTCGTACAATGTTTATAAATTTGAAAGATAATTAAAGCCTGGCACAAATTCATGCAGCTCGACAAGGGTAAGAAAATGTCAAGTAAAACTCATTGTACTGCAGGTCGAGTACACACCAACAGTCCCGTGAGAGAAGACAGGAAATATAAAGACACTGAAGTGATACAGCACCTCTAACATTCTCAAAACCAGTGTGCAAAGTACATTAAAATGTAAACTGAAGGCTGGGCCTGACACCGACTATCACTCACAGTCCAAGCCCGTTAGCCTAGCATGTTTGATAGGACTGCAATAAAAACATATCCCGGGACGTGACTAGCCAGGAGAAATCTCATGACAGCACTGCGGCTTTTTCAAATTTCGTTTAACTTGCTATAGAAAACGTTACACTGGTCAAGTGTGTGACTTTACCCTGAAATATAGAACCAAAACGAAGTCAGTGTTTGTTTATGTAGCTAGCCTGTTAGCAGATAACAGCTCCCTCTTGCCTCCTCCTTCCAGCTCTGCGATCTTTCCCCTGCTATTCTACTCGTTACCGACTCCCCACTCCTCCCCAGTAGATACTCACTGGGCCTGGGACGTGATCGCTGTGGACTCATGTCGATGTTGAGGTCGATTCTCGGGCGAGCTTCTTCATTCTCCTGCTTTAGCTTCTCCTCGATTCGCGACAGCCTCTGTTCCAGCGACGACATCTTGAAAAATTGAACACCATGTAGTTTCCTAGCAGAGCTCTCGACTCCCCTCTCTGGCAGCAGACAGACAGGCAGGCAACACACATGCATACGCACAGGCGCGGGAACGCGCGGGAACGCCCCCCGCCCCACCAACCTCAGACTAACCGCGATTCACGACTTAGCCTTAACTTTAAATTAAGTATCACGGACCAGGACTACTAGACCTGAGCAAGTAAGCATTCAAACTAAAGATACTTCATACTGAAGCAACGATCCCTGTATTTTAAACTTATATTTTTCATCTTATTCAACAGAAAAACACGTTTTTTTCACACTACATGTCCTGTGACTTAATAATGACAATTAATTTGCATTCTATGACACAATTTTATAAAAACACATTAATAACACAAAGACATTGTTCTTTTTCTTCTGGTTGTAATGTCTACTCTGATTTCTACGAAGAAGTTTATTATTATTATTCTAATGTTTCTTTAAAGCAACTGTTAAAGATATTGTATTTGCTATTACAGCTGTCTCTGTAATGACCCATCAGAGGAACTTCAAGATGATTTTTTTCCCCCAAACAACATTTTTAAATAATTCACATACACTACACACAAGTTTGTTTGTTTGTTTGTTTTTTTTACTGATGTGTTTGGACATCCATTGCTCTACTTTACGATTCTTTTTCTTTTTATTCATTTCTATCTGTGTTTGAATGAACACTCACAAGAGAAGAACACAATGACACCAGATTTGCATTATAACCGGTTTCAGGGTCAATTTGTTTTTTTGTTGCCAGAGATGTCATACAAGGCTTTGTAATAAAACATCTACATCACCTTCACAACAAGTATCAATGTAATGTAATTACATCAATGTAATGTTCCACTGTTCATCAGCCTGGTTTGTATCTTAGATACACTGTGAGTTCTTTTAAGTTAATCTACTTTGTCTGGTGATGATTGTTTCTTTTGTGCCTTTACTTTGATTTTCATTCACTACCACGATATCAGTAAATTAAAAAAAAACAAAACATGACTATATGCTTAACCAGAAAGGGGCAGAACCGCTTAAGAACAGACATTAAATCAAAAGGAAAAGGAAACAAGTTCTAAGTGGGAAGCGCTGACTTTTACACATTTATGTTCAAAACAGGTATAAGAAATTTAAAACTATGTACTGAGTGTTCTTTTTTGTTTAAAAATTTTGCATGATCTACTGACTCCACCCCTTTAAAAAAAAACCCACAAACACAAAATATACGATCATGACTTAAGTCATTTAAAAAGTGGTTTGTCGACGCCCCATGAAAAATCCACTGTAAGACTTGGTGGTTTATTACCCTATAATTAATTATGTTTTTCAGAGGTCATGGTGCAACTGCTGGAGAAAAGTAACAGTACTCTCAATGTTTGCAGCCCCTAAAACCGAACACCTTTGTGTGGATAAGACACAAGTACAAATGTAGGGCATTGCTATGAGTTGCCGTTGTGAGCTACCTCCAAACAATCAACAGTGGTATGAAGAGTTTGTTGTCTCGCAGATGAACAGGTGACTACGCTGACATGTAGGAGCATGCAGGGGAGGAGGCTACCATTTGTGCCATGAACACGTCACCAGTGTCTTGTCCAACGATTGAGGGGAGGAGTGTTTGTTTTTCCTTCATTTGAGCATCGACTGTCAACTCGGTGCCGTCTTTCACTTCCTCAGTTTCTTTATCTTAAACCTCTCACACACAAAACTTGGACCCAGGTTCTTTTCCATGGCTCCACATTTTTTTCACAGTGTCATAATGGCAGACAAACAGCCAGCAGAGACTGACCGTCTGCTCAGACTGTTACAATGCCCCCACAGCCAAACATCACCGGAGGATGGTGAACACGACGTCCACTAGCATAGGTCAGACACATAGTCGAAGTCCCTGAAACTGTCCTGGTCTTTGCGGGAGAGGACACGGGGTTCCCGCGGAGGAGTGAGGGCCGGGGCTTCGGTGGTGAACTCCTCGTCAAAGTTACTGACGTCCTCTTTGCCTCCGATTATTGGGACGAATGGAGGAGGCACCTTTCTTTGAAGCAAAGCCTCCCAGTCCATGTTCTAGAAGAACATATAGTTGTTGGGATGATGAACATTTAGAAAGATGAGTTCATTGTAAAAAAATAGTTTCTGAGTGATGCACGTACAGTACACTGCTGACAGATCTACAGTCCACATTTGTTGTCAGGAGAAACCTCACATCTGCTGTACTGCTGTGCTATACCATTTAAAGTTTATGCTCATTGACACAATACCAACAAACTACACCTCTTTCTGAACCAATTATCACTTTTTAAGTGGACTTACTCTGAAAAATGGTTGCTTCTTCACTTCCTCTGCGTCCTTCTCACCAGAGCCCAGTCTTTTTTCAGGGTTCCTCCGCAGCAGCTGCTCATGACAAACACAAAACAATTAGAAATTGCCATAACACTTCAATAAAACAATTGAAAATAATTATAAAACAATATATGTTTTATTAAAAAAATAAAGATTAAAGATTAATTAGTCACCAACTGTCTACAAGAATTCTCACCCTTCTCATGATGCCTATAGCCTCAGTGGAGAGGAAACGTGGGTAGCGGACTTCATCGTTCACAATGCTGTCAAACACCTCCTCTTCATCATCTCCTGGAAAAGGAGACTGCACACGCAGACAACTCCATAAAAATCCAATGCATTGATAAACCAATCAATTAACTGCAGTGAACAGCACTTTCCAAGTACATGCAGTGCAGCATAAAAGCTGTACAGCAAACCGGAATCTGTACAAAACTGAAGAATTACACAGCTACAGTGTATGACTCTGTCCTAGGACGGCTGATTATAACTGTTCACCCAACGAGTGGCAGACTATATGTGTGACTCATCTTACCTCCCCCACCAACATCTCGTAGATGAGGACCCCCAGACCCCACCAGTCTACTGCTCTGGTGTAGGACGTGTCTGTTAGGACCTCAGGAGCCAAAAACTCTGGAGTCCCACAGAATGTGCTGGTCCGATCTCCGTAACCCATTCCTTCAAAGACAACAGGCAGAATGATGCATGTATGAGTGAAAACACAAGCCAAACTCAAGTGCAGCCAATTTGTCATTTGACACAAACACCCACCTTCTTTACAAAGTCCAAAGTCAGCGATTTTCACGTAACCATCAGTATCCAGCAGCAAATTGTCCAGCTTTAGATCTCTGCCAGACAGGGATGGTGTCAATATAAAATATTTCAAGCAAGTCAAGGCTATTGAAAATCAATCTAATGTGGCCAAAAGCTGAAAACAGAAAAGGACTAAACAATCTGATGTAACATTACAGAGATTCAGTAGGTTCTTTCACACTTTTTACTTAGAGTAGATGTTCTTATACCTCAGATATTACGTGATGAGTGTGTGGAACTTCTACTCACCTGTACACAATCTTATGGTCGTGAAGGAACTGAAGTCCAAGAACCACGCAGGCTGCATAAAACCTGACAAGACAAACCACAGTTACGTTATGACACAGCTGCCGGCTCTGGAAATGAGACAACAACCGGGGCGACTGTCTGAGGGAGGAAACAGCTGTCTGCCGGCTGTGGCAAAGTTGTTTTCTGCACTGGGTACACAGCTCAACAGCACTTCTTCTATATTTGTACAACAAAAAACACCACTGTGTCACCGCTGTTACTGCACTTTGTACAGCATGGCTGGGTACTTCAGTAGAGGTTTAGTGACACTAGGGCTAGAGCTGGACAAAGAATATTTTTTGTAATAGAAATAAATAGTAAAGGATAAAGCTTTGCTTTGAAACAAATGTGCTTGTATAAAAAAAGCTCAGTGTTTTAGCCTTGAGTTACCATACAATTTGACCGTGAGGTTCCATTTTTTTAAATTCTCCTTTATCCCAACCTTTATCCATTGACTAATTGTAGGTCTAAACAGAACTTTTCCTCTAAGCTTTTAAAGTCATACTGTGTAGGATTTGGCAACATGTGCAGCTTTTGCAGATCTATGTTGATTCAATATCATTGGCTCAGCATTAACATCCATACATAAAGAAGAACACATGGTAGCCTCAAATAACACATACCTTTCATTTCAAGTTTATTTAAATCTGTCTTTAAGAATTAAGATAAAAAACCGAAATTTATTCAAGTAATGTTGTGAGGTTCTGAAACACCAAGCGCATTTACCTCGCTTCCCCAGAAGAGGGCAGTGTCTACTATCGCAGATTGTCTCGCACGATTTAAATGACAAGAATTATTTATTGCTGTTTTTTTTTTAATTGAATTTGTTGTTGTATTGTCTTTCCTATATCAGATTACATTTATAGTAAAACTGTATCAGATTAAGCCAAGCATATAGTTCTGTTAAGAAGAGCTGATGAGAGTCTGTATCTCTTGTACCTGGGCAAGAAGTAAGAAGGTTATAAAATACAAATCAACTCATTAATATTAACATGTAGCTGCACTTACACAGCTCTGGGCTCTGTGAAAACATCGGTGTGGATGTGCATCATAAGGTCGCCTCCGGCTGTGTACTCCATGACGAAACACACATGCTCCGCTGTCTGGAAACAGGCAAACAGGTTGACAAGGAAAGGATGGTGGGACAGGTTCACGATCTCGAAGATCCGCTTCTCGCACATGAGACTGCAGCAGGGGGAAGAAAATATATATATGTATATGTCAGAGCAGTAACATGAACCACATGAACCAAAGGTGAGATTGTTGTGACAATGGAAAACAGAGAAGAGAAACAGATGAAACTTGAATGATAACTGCACTGAGGCGGAATGGAATCAAATGTAATGGTAGGTTTGTGCATTAAAAATGTTTCATTCTTTCCAAAAGTGATGTGTCACATTGTACACCACAATGAACAAAACAAAACAAGCAAAAATTTACATGAGTATAAAGCTGAAATAAAGCTGACTGAAGACTACCAACACATGGAGAGTATGTTAGAGTATGTTAATATACATAGGGCAAATCCTGTACATGGAGAGTACGTAGAGTATGTTAATATACATTGGGCAAACTCATTAACACACACCTTTCCACCTCATCCCGGGCAATGATATCCCCCTTCTTCAAGGCTTTGATGGCATACATTGTGCCTGTCTTCTTATACTCTGACAACAACACCTGGAGTCACAAAAAAGAAAAGGAGGAAAACTGTATTACTTCTCTGAAATATGAGGAGGAGGAATTAAAACGGAATCAGAATATGAACTTTTTAATTGATTTCCATGATAATGATTTTTAACACACCGACAGATATTTATAGACAAATTTGGTAGACCGTATCACTGAGAAAGATATTTATTTACAAAAGATTTATTTTGATTCCTACCTTTCCAAAGTGTCCCCTCCCTAACACAGCAATTAACCTGAAGTCCTGGAGGGACAGAGGACCCTTTCTCTGCTTACTGTAGACGTAAAAGCACAAGATAATTATTTGATAATGCAATGTCCTGAAAAATAAAAGGTTTAAAGTAAAACAACAAGAATTTGTAAATTAAAAGGTCCTCCTTCTCCAAAAGAAGACAGCAATTAGTCAGTGGGTAGTCAAATAAAAGAAATATAAACTGTATGTGGACGTGTACCTGATGACAGACTGAGTTCGGACAGGACACTCAGGGGTGAGGTCTGGGGGGGAGAAGGGCTCAATGACTGGCAGACGGTCCTGATGAGGGTCAGGTGAGGAAAGTCGTTGTTAAAAAAACCCCACAGAGGATCAAGAACAGTTTTAGGGTCGAGAAGAACCCAAGACGATTCAGTGGAACCCACTACTCTTAATATTGAACCAAAGAGTTGAGGCCACTGTTCTGTCCACATTATATAATTATGATGATAAGATGATTGCCCAGAGGCAAAGATAACATTGATGTTCTTCTAAATTGAATAAATAGTTTTTGCAAAATAAAAATGCAAAAAAAATAAACTTGTTATGTTATTTACTAGAAATTTTCATTAATAATAAGATAACAGACAAGAATAGAAAAAAATCTATTTCAAATCAATGCCTGCAACACACTTCATTATCACTTGGGCAGAGGCAATGTAGGATCATGTAGGGCAATTGAACCCTGGACCCTGGCGGACTCCTGCTAACACGGAACCCGTACCAAACGCCTCATACACACCTCCCCAATGTCCCTGGGTTCCTGTGTCTCTGTCTGTCTCAGCGGAGTGTACGTGTCAGTGTCTCTCTTGTAATCTCCTCTTAACGGGGAGTCACTGTCCAGACTGAGCTTCTCCACAGAGATCTCCCTATTAAAAAAAAATTCACACAAACACACAAGGACAGACAGACGTGGCGGTGCAGACAGAATGAGTCACCAGACAAAACACACAGAACACAGGAGGGTTGTTAGATGTTTGGCAGGAAAAGCATCACATGCTTCATCTTCTGCCTGGAACCACAATGGAGAAGGCTGAAGGGACGGTCGTCTGACAGCAGCGTATGACTTATGGCCATCAAACATCACATGAACATGTTGTGTAAAAGTTAGTGTGTGTGTGTGTGTGTGTGTGTCTCACCCAGTGTTGAGAGTTAGACCGTGTGCATTAGGACTGTAGGTTCCTGAGTTGTTGGCAGTGGGAATGGCATTTCTCAGCAGCCTCACCCACGTTCCGATGTCCACATTCATTTGACGAGCTCGGAGGAACGCTTTACCTGGAAACACAGTGACACAAGTTTTACGGTGTGTTTTTGATATTTTCATGATGGATCTGTGGGGCAAATTATGTCACTGAATGTGTCAAAGGGGTCGTGTTCTTCACCGTGTTGCTTTGAAAAGACTTTCTTCTGCCGTTGGAGACGTGGAACTCTTTCAATGACTGGGTTAAAAAAGATTACCTGAAAAAAAAAGAAAAAAGGAAACATGAAACATGAGCTTTGCCTCAGTTGGTTGAGCCTTTCAATAATTTACATCAAAGGGAGTCACTGTCGTGTTTTATTTGTATGTAGATAATCGCCTGTGGACACAGCTGTATACGTTTATTTACGTAGTATTTACGGTACCATTATATACAAATGTTGTGTCATCACATTTAATTCCACCACTTTGTGACTCCTCGCATTTACATTTTCTGTCCTTGTGTGTAGAGTGACATTAAAGTTGAGTGACAGAGTGCATGAGTTTGTGTTTTGGTGTAAACCTCAGCTAACAGGAGGCCCTGAGGCTCCAGCTCCAGCTGGACTCTGTGTTTCTGGTTGTCCAAAAACTCCTCCAGCTTCAGGTACTTCAGAGCACACAGTGAGCGGTAATCCTTCCAGTAAACTGCAATCTCCATCTCCCTGGACTAAAACACAGACACATAACACACAACAGTGACTATGAAAGGAGCACAACTTTCTGTATTAGCGCTTCTACTTAGAAACCAAATACAATCAATTCATCCCTGCTCTCAGCTGCTCTCTCTCTCTCTCTCTTTCTCTCTCCACTTGCAGTGTTAACATCACCCATTACTTCCAGCAAAGGTGTTAATCAGCTCTGATCTGCTTCTGTTCTGCTCTAACCAAGCTTATGTTTATTTATATAAATGTTTATTTTTTACTTATGTGCATTTATGTATACAAGAATGTATGCATGTGACTATGTCTGTACCGTCTCAACATACGGTGATTAAGGGCTTGACAGGATAAAAGGGCTACAAGTTTAAATTGTGCTTTCACTGTTAACATTGTATACAAATCAATGTAGATATTTTGTCTATAAAAACAATGAAAAAGATGAGAAAGAAACTGAATATAGCCATTATCATGGCTTCATCTCCTGCAGTTGAACTAAAATATATTTACAGAAGTCTGTCTGCATTATGGTATGTGTCTGGTTCCATGACCTGTCTGTCAATATATACTTGTCCTCAGGACAACGCAGTACTTGTGAATATGTACTCACCCTTTCCAGCTCCACAGTAAAGGTTTGGTCCCAGGCCTGTTCTCCCACGGTTCTCCAAGCTGTCTGTCCCACCACCATGTTGTCCAACTTGAGCACAGCACTCACCTCAGCTGCAAAGATTACAGAAATGCACAAAAAATATAGACACACGATTCCTCTATAAGTGACATTCTAAAAGATTTTCCCAGAGTAAGGAATAAATCCTCAGAACGCTTACTCTGCAGTAGATGAAATAGTTTTAGTATCGATTAATAATTGTCATCAATTTCTCTGGAGACATGACAAAGAAAGCAAGACCTTTAAAACACAGTTAGAAAGTGCCTACTCAAGCACTGAGGCAATTCAGCTCAACTTGCTGATGCTGCTCAAGGAGTCTGTAAGTGCTGAGCTTAAACGGTCCAGCTGCGAGTGTGTGTGTAATTTAAAGTGACAGAAAATGATGAAATCTTTAACTTCTAAGTAAATCAATAGTAAAAATCACACTTTTCAGCTGAAAGCTGAATGGACACACACTTACAGGAGAGCTCATCTGCCTTGCTGGGTGTCTTTCCACTCACTGAACCACTGCGGCCGTAGAGACCCTTGCTGCCTCTCATGAAAGACCTCGTGTCTCCGGGGCTGTAACAGGGCAGCATTACGGCCGTTCCTTTAGTGCGACCTGGGACCACTTCCAAGACCCCCACACAGCCCAGCAGCTGCACCTGTAGTGTTCCTGTCAATGGAAAAAAACCAATACACATATGAGAAGACCACAGCCAGAAGATAATAGTCTGGGTATGTGTGGTTTAAATTTATTTAATGAATTTATTTCTATAACCTCGCTTTGGATAATTTACCAGTGAGGGGAGAGGGTTTGCTGAGGGTGCTGTACTGATTGTGAAGGTAGGGGGCGCCATGTCGGGAGCTGAAGGCAGGGGAAGAGGCCAAAACCATCTCCTCTTTGATGACATTAGACTTGGGATGGTCCTCTGGCAGCTCTGCCAGACGCTGGTCCAGAGAGTCCCTGAGCAGGTCCAGACGCTGTGATGCCTCGCTGAGACGAGACTGTGCCTGAGGGACATCAGCACAGAGCAGGAGGGACGCATGTTAATGTCAAATGGTGACTGCTGAAATTACTAAAAGAAAATAAAACCAAAATCCATTTACAGCAATATCTGTATGTGTGTAAATGTGTACATGTGTGTAGGTTTTTGTTTCCACCTCAGACAGGGCTTTCTTGTCCTGGACCTTGCTGGCTCCCAGAAGCCTCAGTACATTTTTGGCCCCCTCAGCCACAGCATGTTCTACCCTGTAGTGATGCCTCAGCTCCTCAATACGCAGCTCCACGCCACACATGTCCTGATTACCTGCAGTGGTGGAAACAAGATGCTGACACATTAATGCATTATTGAATGTTTTTTTTTTTCATAATCCCATAGTTTGTTATTGAAAATGTTACTTGAGTTATGGTGTTTGCTGAGTGTGTTATGGGACATACTTAGGTTCATGAAACATTAACAGAGCCCAGAGGAAATGAAAGCAGTGAGCATCAGAGAAGAGCACTGACTTCAGCTCCAGTTTGTTTTTCTCACTCCTTTCCAGTCATTTATCAACAAAGAAAAACTGAGAAACAAAATCCAGGACTCTGCTCCTGCAGTCCCTGCTTTAACCAAAGTACTGCACTGGTCTTAAATAAAAAAGGCAGAGTTGTGATTTGGATCATTTAGAACAACTGTAACGAAAGCTTAAAAAGTAAAGACATATTCTTAACCACGATCAAAGTCATAACAAACTAAGTTCCTTTACTTCGAAAGACTGACATGCGGTTGACCTGATAGCAGCAAATGCACAGCATAATTACAGCTAAGTGGTTTGTTTTCATTGGCTCTCACAGCAGCCAGACCAAGAACCAGTGAGATGGAGTGAGATATGAGAAAGTGCAACAGGATTAATGGCATTAGAAGAAGCCTTTTTATATGCTGTGTTAGTGAAATTGTAAAACAAAGAACACACTGGCTGAGGAGAAAAAAAAGTTTTATGTCTTATGATCCTTTTAGAATGTTTCCTGGGACAGGAGAAGGGAGGGCCAACTGAGGGGGTAGAGGTTTGAGGGGTATGGACATGTTTAACTCCTAATAAGGTGTTCTGCATGGAGCACAGACTCTGCTCCATGACCCCTCAGCCGGGTGTGGTGCCTGGAGACTGTCTGTCTGTGTGTGTGTACACTGTACACTTTCTGTGTGTGTATGTGTGTGTTAGGTTTGAAGGACAGAGTAAAGGAAATATAAAAGCACAATAGATGACGGTTAGCACTTGTTTCAATAGAGTATCTTCCAGAACTTTTCTGGAACTTGTCCAGCTGCTACAATATGAAAGGCATACATCACACACTATTACTGATCTTACTGAAATGTCTTCTTCTCTGAAGTCATACCGTGGATTTGTTGACGTTTTCATGAAGGGGCCGGGGCAGGTAACTACAACTGCAGTAACTACAGTATCAACTACAGTATGTAGATTTGTCTGTTCAGTGCTCAACAAAAATCTAGTGACGAATGCAAACTGAAACTGGAGCGTTGCTCTAAGGTCACATGCAAATACGACTGACTGGTCTGCTAAATACATAAATATGTAAATGTGAGAGTACCATCTGTGATTGTGTATGTTCTAGTGACCTTTGTGAACAATCATTTTATATCCTGGCTTTATGGCTCCCTGTTTACTTTTTAACCAATGTCAGTCGGATCAACACACACACACACGCAGACATGTTGATATCAACTTTGAAGCAAAGCTAAGAAACAACATTCATAAAGGACCCAGTCTTGGTCTCTATAAGTGCCAAGAAAACAGTTCGAATTCTGAGAATTGTTCTTCAAAAATGTTAACACGGGTAATCACACACAAACACATACACACAGACCAACCCACACACACACTCAAACAAACAGTTTATAGCTTGTGTGTCGTGTGAGATGGCACCTGATAAATTTGTTTGATGTCTGGAGCCACTGTTTTAAACAACTAGATGTGCGACGTGCAGGAAGACTACAGACTGAACAAGGAAAATAACTTTTAGCTGACTGTATGATAAATTACTCTTTTATCAGTAATAATAGCCAGTAATATTTTTTTTTTTTTTAAAAAGAGATTTTCAGCAGCATGTTTAGAAATGTCGGTAAAACTTTGTATTTCTCTGACATACTCTGCGTGTCATCATTGTGTTCAGTTGCCTGCACAGCTTTACGAATCTGCATGCGGATGATGTCGATTTTGGTTTTGCTGTCCTGCAACATTTGCTGAGCCGTCTGCAGCATCTTCTTATCCTGTGGGAAAAGGGACAAATCATATGACAGGAATCAGTTATATGACATATTAAATGAACCACCAAAAAAAAAAAATACTGTTGGAATTTAATATTTAGAGCATATTTATTGACTAAAGTCTCATATTTATTTCCCAGAGCAGCATTTAATATTTTGAGCATATTTATTGACTAATTGAAAAAGTCTCATATTTATTTCCCAGAGCAGAAAGCACATCACACAAGACGTTGGAGGAAGGTGAAGGGTCAGGTCCTGTACCTTGGTCGATCCATTGGCATAGATGGGGATCATGTTCTCAACTCCCTGTTTGACTTTGAGCTCGATGTTGAGCTGTCTCTCCAGGGCAGCGATGCGTTCCTTGTGGGCTGATGTTCGACTCTCTGCCCCCGGAGACTGAGGGCATTCATCTGAGGAGGGAGGGAAGAAAAAAAGATTATATGATTAAATAAAAAATAAATAAATAAAGGGAGGGGTTTTCAGTTTGTTTTCATTATGGGTTTCAAACATGAAAATAGCCTACCTTTATTTTCTTCCCCTCCCTTTACCACAATGTGAGCATCCAGCTCCTGCAGCTGCGCATGTAAGTCGTCCAGCCTGCGGTTTGAGGACCGAAGCTGACTGTCGACCTAAAAGAGATAAAAATTATAAATAAGAAGTCTCATAGCAAAAAATGTCACCAGTTCCAGTCCTTGCTCAGACAAAGGGCCATCTGTGTAGATTTTGCATGTACTATCTCTGTGTGTGTGTGTGTGCGTGTGAGTTTTAAACAGGAATTCCAGTTTCCTTCAACTTTTCAAAGATATGCAAGTTAGGTAACATGACAACGATGCCTTCAAATGAGCACAGACATAAATATAACAAAAATCATCTCTAGGTTTAAAGTCTGTAAATGAATGATGTTTTACCAAGTATGTAACCTTTACTTTGGCCAATGTCAGCTGAGATAGGCTCAAGCTCCACCTTTGGGAAAAGAAATGAGAAATCTAGCAGCTGTTGCTTGAGAACGCAGGCAGAATGTCAGTTTGTCAAAAACAGCAGACAGACAGACTCAACACAGATCGGGTGATATTGGTTATTAACTCCCTCACTATCTCAGAACATAACTTCATGTACAAAAACACTGTTGGTATAGAGACAGATTTGCTTATTTATTTCTGTCTATGAAAAAAACCCAACAAAAGTCTGTGTACAGCCAGACATAAACACTACATGTTCTTCTGGTTCTTTACTACCTTGCACACATTCTGTGTTGTTCTAAAACACACATCAAAATGGAAGTTAAAACAACAGTCTCAAAGTCTGCACTGGACGATGAACAAAAAAAGGAATGAAAAGAAAAACAAACATTGTTGAAGCTGCATTTGGAAAGGTTTGTTATTGTCACAGAGACATAAAAGCACACAATAATAATGAAGGGATTGTGCACATGTATGTGACTCTGTGAACAAAACTATTACTTCTCAATTTAATACACAGAATAGACAGTGTGGAGTGCGACTCCAGACCCTGGCAGACCGGTGCTGTTAGCAGCAGTTCTCACTCTGCAGCTCAAGGAAGTAAATGTGTGAAGCTGTGCTGTAGGAGGAAGAGTGTAATGGGAAAAGCCTCACTTTGAAATGGGAAAAATTATGCTGTGGGTTTATAAATATCCTGAAGGGCTCTACTTTGTGTAAAAACAAACAGGATAAGAACCAAACATACCAGTGATTCACCAGACAGTGGTTTCCTGCAAAGGTTACTGATAAGGTCTTTCACACTCAGACAATGTGTACAGTAAGAGTGCTTCTATAATTTCATCAATCTTCCCTCTTTGAGTTCTAAGTAGTTTTACTCTTCTTCAAGGTAATTCCAGAGGAAACATGTTTCGCTCAATTCCCTGAAATGCAGTGGTGAGAAGACCTAACTGATAACATTGGCTGACCTGCTGTGCATTCCTCTTGTCAGTTGTTGCCCTGCGCAGGTTCTCAGCTCCTTCCTTGATCTTCAGCTCCTTGCGTATCTCTCTGCGGATCCTTTCACGCTGCTCATCCAGCAGTTGCTGCACACTGGAGTCAGAGAAGTCGGAGTTCTGGTCCAGGCCGAGCTGCTCGAGCACCGACAGCCCGCCAGGGTCACTCTGAAGAAGCAGGTGAAATTGTAGAGGAGAAGAGTTAAAAGAGTTCTAAAACTCTTCCCAACAAAATACAATTTTTTTTTATATAACCTGGTTAGAATCAATCAGTTGAAATGTCTTTTCAAGAAGAGTTCTCCCTTGCACATGACAAAAAACAAACACTGCAGACATCACACTTAAGAAGCTGTTGAAGTAGCTATTAGTTTATACAAAATAATTAGAGTTAATAGAGATTAAATGGCCAATAAGTTGATGATCTGGAGATTTCAATGGTTCTTACCACTATTCCAAACAGAAAGCACACGTTTGTGGAGGCCATTATCTTCAACACAATCACAGGAGACAGCAGATTAAATCAAACTGCCCAGTAGATATAGCAATGTGAGCAATTAAACTAATGACCTGATTAAAATGGCAGTTTGCTCGTGGTCTCTACAGTCTTTAACTAGTTTGATAATTTAATACAGAACCTCGTCGTTTTAGGACTTCCTAGTTATTTGTGTTAAGAGTGAGGGTTGAAGAGAGGTGGTGTTGAGTGTGGCAGACATGAGAGGAAGAGATGGTGAGTGTGATAAGGCAGTAATGGAAGGAAAGAGATAGGAAGGTAAAGAGTTGATGTTGATGGGAGGTAAAGTTGAGAAAGAAAAAAAAAATGGAAAAAAGCTAAAAAAAAAAACAGCCAGTGAGTAAAAAATACTGTACACAATATGAGCAGCTGGCAATAGTAGACTCTTCAAATGTTCCCAAAACAAACCTCTAGAGTTTCAGCCTGTTCGCATCTATAGTTTTCAACCCAACACCGTTCAATACATTCATTATTGTATTTATGCCTTAACTCAAAAAACATAAACACCGGCCTTTGGTTCCTGTTTTGTCCTTATAAAACACTGATAACATTTACTTTGTATGTTGTTAAAATGACACCAATTCTGCTCTGACATGAGATTTTTTACATGAGATGTGGAGAATCAGAACAGTAACAGTAACACGAGTGTGTCAATCACTAGATATCCCAGACACAATAAGAGGAAGACAAACAAAAACAAAACAAACATTAGTTTAGTCAATAGCACTTCACCTCTGAGCTGTCCTCATCCTCATCATCGCCATGCCAACACATACTGTACTTCAGGCTTATTTGGCCTCACCAAAGAAAAAGAAAACAATCGCAACCAGAGGAACCACGATACGTCGGCGTTGGTGTGCTCCTGAGCTTCGACCAACGGTTAATGGAGAGCAAAGAAGTCGGAGGGGGACATAAAAGAGATACAGTTAGGGATAGTGAAGTGAGGGAGGCGGGGGAACGCCTCCAAGAGAGGATATCCGTCCTAACACCAAGCTTCTCAGGCCTTTCCTGTTTCCTCTTTGATTTTGCTGCTGTCAGTGAAGGCTGACGAACACAAAGAACACTTTTCAAAAACTACGTACTGCTTTAAGAAAGGGTCCTGAATCTTTTTGTTTTCTGATTGATTTGATGTGTCCAATTAAGTTTTCTGGGACTTTTTAAAAAATTCACACTCACTCGGGTTGATGTAATGGTTAGGGCGGAAACATAGGAAGGATGTGTTTTCCAAGTACTGGAGCGAAGCCAGAAGAGTCTAAGGTTTGGAGGCATTTGTGTTGTCAGCTTGACTCATCATTTCCTTTGGGCATCACATTTACAAATCCCATCGGTGGTTCACTTATAGATGGTCATAGTTTGTACTAGCACAGGCTCATCTGAGACTATGATTACATCCTGATATATAGAAGCAAAGGGAGGGTGGAGTTCCATGAGTGTTTAGTTGAAGATTTATTTATGATGGGAAAGAACTATAACCTAACATATGCATTGTAACTGTTTGGGTACACAGAGAAGAAAGGAGCCGCAGTGCATGTGGTTTGTTTTCAAGATGCTGACTCATCGCTCTGTAACCACCAAACAATTCTTCTAAGCCTAAAAACAAACACGATGCAGTGTAATGTGTCCTGTTGTTGGACAAAGAAACACAAACAGAAGATTTGGGACGATTATAAAAAGACACCACAATAGGTTCATCTGTATCCGTTTATGTCACAGATTATATGTTGAAGCCAGCGGTGAAAATGTCATTGGCTGCATAGCAACATTAAAATAAATACGTATTATATGTACGTACTCATATGTATTCATGCCACCTAATTTGACAGATACGGTTGTTAATACGATTTCACTGTTTGTATTTTAACAGCTGGTCCGACAGTACTTAGACCGTAGGGCTGTTTATCTGCTCCTATTCTTTCTCCTTCCTCTTTCCCGCCTTTCTCTCCCTCTCTCCCGCCCCCCCATGCTTCCTTTTCACTTGTTGCTGAGGCAGACGCTCTAACACCTACTTTGGATCTGCTGGAAATGTCTTCCTGTCAAAAAGGAAGACATATCCAGCAATTCCTTTTTACAATTTTAATGAAATTTAATGTTTAATATGACATATTTTATATATATATATATATATATATATGTATGTATATATATATATATTCCTTGAAGTGCTGCCCTGTTCTTATTATTTCTTTGAGAAAAAATATTATTTTTAAGTAAAATCTATTATGTTCATTAGGGTCGATTTAGTTTTGTGAATTTTGTAAAAATTAATGTGACTTGACCTGAGTTAATATACTGGTAATACACTGTAACTAACACAGAGGCAGTCAGTATGCCATCATATGATTTTGCTGTTTCTTTTCATAAGCACCAGGGTAACAACAAAAAGAAAAAAAAAAATCAAAACATTCATAATTTATATTTAAAAAAAATGTTACTGCAATTAAAGACGACGAGGTAAAAACGTGTCAAGTCAAGTCTTTTGAAATTACACAGAAACAGAACACATTTCTTTTCGGATTGCTGCAACTCACTCAATCCATAACCATAAAGCACTGTGTCACTCATACAGTTGGTGGGAACTAGTCTGTTCATGTAACCAGCACATACGTTACGGGGTGTTACTGCGAATGCAGATGGCACTGTGTAAAGTAAACGTAGCACAGAGACTGAACAGATGTGACTGTTAAAAAAGGAGCCAAAAGATGGTGATACAACATCCTCTCACTGCTGACCTGGTGTAACAATACACAGATGGGGACAAACGTCGGCCAATAGTGACTCATCACACACACACACACAGTGTGCTCGTTAACACGGCTAGGCCAGAACTTTGAGTCGCAGCAGTCTTGGTAACAAATGACAGGAAGATTTAACAGGAGACACTAACACAATGGGAAAAGACACTCAGAGCCTTGGGCTGAAATCAGGAGGGCAAGAGTGAACACAGTGTGTGTGTGCGTACACAGTGCTATTGGGAGGCAAAAAGAAAGAAAAAGTGAAAAAGGAAGAACACTGAGTTTGCACGTAGGCCTGTCACAATAACAATTTTGCTGGAGGATATATTGTCCCACAAATTATCTCCAGTGAAATGATAATATTGTTTACATTATTGAGGCCAAATTTATCACTAATGTAATGATATGATCATAATAATAGGAGTACACACCTTCAAATGTAATCAATTTCTCATGAGTACCTTACTGCACCTCACATTTCCTATGGTACCTGAACCACATGGAACAACAGGATCACCACTGAGACTCTGTTTTATTTTACAGAGACTCAGTGACGCAAAGAGAGAACACATAGGCTAAAAGACTGAAAAGTGACGTTTTTGTTTTCCATTTTGTTTAACAAAACATGCTGAGAAATTTAAATATGTATGAAATGTATTTCCTCAGGGCCAAATCTGTTGAAACAAAGACAGTCATCAGGAGGACAATTTGCTGTTATTGCTGAGAGGACAGGAGGACAATTTGCTGTTATTGCTGAAAAATAACATAAAGAAACAGGAGCCGAGAGCTAGTTTTGGAAGAAGTGAGGCTTGGAAAGAAAAGTGAGGCATGGTGACAGGAAGAGAGAGAGAAAGAGACAGAAAGAGAGAGAGGGCAGAGCTAAGAGGGTCACAGGCTGAAAGCAGACAAAAAGACAAGAAAAAAGAAGTGATTGAAATGGGGCAGAGAAGTGCAGTGAGTCAGCAGCTCCTGCTGTGCTGCAACAAAAAAGGTGCTCTACCATTGGGGCTCATCACACTGGACCATGAACAGTAGAACAGGTCATATTTGATGGTTTACATAAACATCAGTTATCCTGACATGCAAATATGCATTCAGGAAGGAACTGCTTCTGTAATGTGTCAACTGAATTCTGAGGTAAAAGGCCATGTAAAATGTTAGGTACTGTTGAAGTCATATGTGAACCACTCACCAAACAAAAACATATTTGTTGTAAATATGCTAGAAATTTCATTTGCATCAAGTCTCCTGTTTATTTGCTTGATCCAAACTAGTCCCTAAACCGAATGATGGACATAGTTATAAGTTAACTGACAAATATTCCCAGATGGGAATGTAAACAGTCAGTATCAGGGGGTTGCTTTATCCTCGTGAGAACAGTTTAACATGCTGACATATATAGCAAGTGTTTTCATTTCCCCAAACGGCCCTGGTAGGACCGTCTACACAGCGGGGCATGTGTCCATCACTATCTGTTTGACACCTGCTGAATGAATGGACCAGACATATTTGAAGCTGAAGTGATTCTGGGAGGCTGGGAGGAACCCAAGAAGGGTTTGGACTCTGGAGATAAAACACAGACATAACCTTTTCAGTTAGTGTCTAAAATGAATCCAGGTGGGAATGTAAACTAATGTCAGCCTGAACTAAAATGTTCAGTCTTAACAACACCGAAATAGTTTTTCAACATTTATCAAAACATGAAGAATTGACTTAGTATGTAAACTTTGTGCTTCCAATAAACTAACTTGACCTTTGGTATTATGTGAGGAACAAGAATGTGGAACAGATCTATCACAAAGAGTTTCATTATTTAAAAAGACAACTCCTTATTGGATTCCCAACGGGCAGATTATTAACTTATAACTGCAGGTCTTTTGTAATTTGTATACGAAAATAAAACAAAAAACAGGGTACACATACAG